GTATAGACGAATAAAAACCCCGGCTTCAGAATAATGACTTCAGAAACACGTAATAATTATTTATTGTTTTTAGTTTTAGAATTAGTTCGCAATTTTTTTCTTATTGGTTTAACTATTTTACCTTAGTGGTATAAGGAAATAACCTGTACAAGATAATGACTAAAGTTCATAAAAGATAGCTTGATCTCTGCGACAGCTGTCAGTAAAATCAAGTCCTGAATTTCTTAGTAGTACAGACAGTACCTGTCAATGTCATACTTTATGGGCACGCCGATATAGGTCGTTTATACTCGTAGAATAACGTCGCAATAGTTTAAATCTTCGTCCACTATTTCCCATCCATAGGGATGAAATTTTTTTCTTCAAATTTATATGTTACAACCCGTTAACGTTAATTTTAAAAATGAAAAAGAAACCATTTCAATCTTTTCAGCCGTTACCGAGAAATTTTTAAACATACTCGTACAAAAATATACGTCGAATATGGGGTGGGTTAAAAAAGTATGAAGTAAAAATAAGTAAGTCGTATTTTTCTACGTAATTTAATTTAATTATTTTATGCAACGCAATCGATTCAATTTTGTATTTTGTCACGTTTTTGAGAGATCGTTAACTCGATCGCTGTGCAAGAATATTCACTACCTCATATCGTTTCCTGGGTGTCTTAAGAGGCGAAAGAGGGAAAACGAAACAGGGGATGGACATCTTCCGGATAACAACTCAAAATAACTAAAAACGCGGTAGCCAACTTGCTTGCCAAGCATGGCAACTCTGGCAAAATCTCTCCTTTGAGACAGTATATGGGGGAGGTATATGTACGTTAAGATGGACTTTTATAGGCTGTAATGTATGTAGGGATGGGTGGATCTTTGTAATACGCACTGGTGCTTCTGATTATTCGCAATTTTAAGTGGCTATTTACCATTGAAGTATAATGTATGTAATACATATTACTTCAATGTTATTTGCTATGTACGGTGGTTCAAAAGATCAACATCGCTAGAGAACGTGCATATCTGAGAAATTGAAAAGAAGATTGGGTTGTTTTAGGTTAAATAAATGAAACTAATGAAAGATCTTTTATAACAAGTCTTTATTAATGGAGATGGCCAGAATGTGCCCCAAGCTGTACAAAAATAAGACTATTGCTATTAATTAAAATAAAACGAAAAAAGAATTTTGAATAACTAACTTTTGCTGCGGACGCAAGGAAAACATGGCTAAGACTCTGTCCAGGTGAAAATGTCCCACTGGAAGTTAACCAACAAAAACAGGGGTATATTCCGTTGGTACGGAGTGTCCAGAAAAATTTATTTCAAAATTTCCACAGTCAACAAGACCAGGCTCGCCTTCTGGCTGCTTCGACTAAGGAATCTAGTCACTGGTTACACGCTTTACCATCAAGAAATCTCGGCAAATTGCTTGATGGGGAAAGCTTGCGCATCGCCGTAGGAATCCGGCTAGGAGTGGTGATTTGTCAACCTCGCCAGTGCCCCTGTGATAGCAGAATCGATGAGTTTAGGCTCCACGGACTTTCATGCAAGAAAAGTGCAGGAACCGTGACGGGAAGTCATGGTTCTTTGAACGAAGTCATCCGAAGGGCTCGTGTCTCTATAAATATCCCCTCGGTTTTAAGCCTTGCGGGATATTTAGGGACGATGGCAAGACCCGACGGTATGACTTTGGTTCCTTGGGAGAGAGATAAAGCCATAGTGTGGGATGCTACTTGCGTTGACACTTTGGCGGCCTCTCATCTCAGGGGTACCTCTTTAAGAGCCGGAGCGGCAGCAGAGTTTAGTAAATGGCGTAAATATGATTCTTAGAGAAACGAATACATATTTGTGCCATTTGCTGTAGAGACTATCGGTTCTTAGGGCACACGTGCAGTGAAGTTCTTAAAGGAACTGTATCCACGACTGGTCGTCGCTGCTGGTGATAGGAGGGCTGGTTCTTTCCTCGCTCAAAGGCTAAGTATAGCTATTCAACGAGGAAACGCAGCCAGTGTTCTTGACACCATACCACGGGGAGCAGGACATTATGACTATTTAAATTTTCGTTTTAGTTTTATTATATTATAATTTCTTTTTTTAGTGTGTATATTGTAAATATTATGATTTTAATTATTTCTAATTAATATTCTATTTGTAAAGAAATAAAGATGCTGGGTTTTATAATTTCAACAAAAGGCATAAAGATAAATCCCGATAAAATTCGGGCAATTCAAGAGTTTCCAGCAGCCAAAAAGATTAAGCAATTGAGGGCTTTTTAGGTCTTTGAAATTTTAATTGAAGGTTCATTCCAAAATACAGCGCGAGCATGATATCGCTCTGTGAATTAATAAAAAGTGACATAAGTTACAATGGAGCAAAAAACAGAAGGCATTTGAATGTATAAAACAACAATTTATTAGGTAATACTATACAATTGCATCATCCTGATTTTAGTAAACTATATTATTTGCAAACAGACTGTTCCGGTGTGGGTATGGCAGGAGTACTTTAGATAGTTTCAGATAGATGATAATGTTATGAGCACAACGCTCGCTTTAAAAAGTGCGGCTGCAACTAGTTTGATGGTACACTTAGACCGCGTGGACTTTTATTTAGACAGAGAAAAACGCCTACTTCTCTTCGATTCACCCATCGGTCACCGGGCGAAGCGAGCGATTCCATTTAAACTCTCGCACCCGATCTCGCTGTGTCTCGCCTATAAGATAGAGTACAGCCGCCATTACAGTATTGTCACTGTACACATTTATAGTAGTGAAAGGAATTTTTTAATTGCTTAATAAATACATAGGTCTAACTGTCATTAGTACAAATGTGAAGAAAGCGTGTCCGAGGATAATACTACGTAATAAATAACAAACGTCATGGTATAGAAGCACTCATATTTATTTGTCTTGAATTTAAAATATTACGTTAAATTCCATGGTTGTGATTGATTTCGCTTCCAATTTCACGGCAGCCTCGCGTTTGTTTATCTTAACGCTTGCGATTGCGTCTTCGACACTACTGCAAAGGAAAAATATAAAGACTTTAAGCTTTACGATGTACTAGCTGAACCCAGCACCCATTCTCCTACCAGTTAGTAAGCAATTTAATTTACTATCGCTCAAATGAGTGAAAAATCAAAAATTTGAAATTTTGTTTGTTGCTTAGGTGATAAATTTTGTTTGTTGGTTAGATGAATATAAATATATTTTTTTATATAGAAGAGGGGCAAATGAGCATGCGGCTCACCTGATGGTAAGTGACTACCGCTGCCGATGAACAACCGCAACACCAGGGGAATTGTAGGTGCATAGCCGGCCCTTTAGAAAGGAATAAACTCTTTTCTTGAAGTTCCCTAAGTCATATCGGTCCGGAAAAGTCGCCGGTGGTAAACGCCGGTGTACCACAGAAGTTGTACGAGGAAGAAAACTCCTAGTAAAATGCACAGTGGTGGACCGTCAAGCATCCAGATGGTGAGAATGGTATCGTGAATTTTGACGCAATGTGTGTTTGTGAAATTTGGCGGCTGGTCTAATCCTAAATATTCCTCAGAACACTCCCCATGTCAGATACGATAGAAAACGGAAATGGATGCAACATCCCTTGTGTGAATCGAGACGATTAGAAAGAACTCGATTGTCAACGTTTCGAATCGCTCTGCGGTGGATGCGATCAAGTGGAAGAAGCTGGCACTGGGTTGCCCTGGCCCATAGATGAGAACAGTATTCCAAATAAGATCGAACTTGCGTTTTGTAAAGTTGCAAGCGCTGTGATGGCATGAAATACTGTCTCGCTCTGCTGAGTACGCCAAGCTTTTTATAGGCCAATTTGACTTTCCCCTCCACGTGACCACGAAACAGCACACTATTCGGCAATTCCCCTGGTGTTGTTTTTGAGAATGAGAATTTTGAGGTGAGCGATTTCATACAACATAACATCCTCTTTTATGGAATTATGATGTATTAATTGTTTTAACTCCTCAGTCCCCAAGCGGTCGAATTCGACTGCAGCGCTATTCTTTAAAAATTGAAGCGGTCGGATTCGACCGCGCACACCCACAGCACTTTAAGCCATTAAAACTTATATTTAGAGACTATTTTTCTATGAAAAATTTTAGCATTATAGAATCAGTATAAAATTTTCTATCATCTAGTGTAATAAAAAACAGTTATCCTATGGATATTTATTTATAATCTACGTTCATTACGTACGACATTTACGCGTGAATGTTATTGTGTTGATTTTTAGATTTTTCTAGTGTTTTAGTATAGTGTTTTATTATAAAATTGTAATGAAAGTATTTGTGTGAATATAGTTTATCTTTTTACGTAAATAATTTCGAGTAATATATATTGAAATAATTGTGATTTTAACGCTGCTGACATTCGCTTGGTATATTTTCTTTTTGTTATCAAAATGTAAAAGTCTTTTTGTAATCAAGTAAAACCTGACTTATATATAGATAATTTTGTATAGATTTTATAATGCCAAACTTATTCACAGAAAAGTAGTCTCTAAATATAAGTTTTAATGGCTTTAAGTGCCGCGGGTGGGTGCGGTCACATGCGACCGCTCGGGATTCGCCGGGCGTATGCGACTGCATGGGATTTTATTGGGATTGAGGGGTTAATTAACGGCGTAAGAGAATCTATTTCTATTTATTATCCGTGGGTGTTATAATGGGCGAGGAGATAGGCAGCAGCAACTTCCAGATAACAACTCTAAGCAACGAAAAACGAAGTTGCCAACCCGCCTCAATACCATTTAGATCGGAACACAGGAGTACATGTACTACTTCTTGGCACTATTAATTGATACATAATAGGTAGTTCCTATTCAGTTGGAGTTCTAGGCATATAAGAAGTCCTACCTACCACCTAGAATAATGCTTGAAATGGGGAGACTGTAAGAAATACATATCGCAATTTTCATCTTACTTGAGATTAAGAGATTTGCGCTGGTATATTGCTCGATACCGACTAACAACTTTTTAATATAAAAAAATAATTACTCATTATAAATCACAAGGACGACGGTGTTCTGTGGCGTAACAAACGCAACCTCGTCAGTGCCTTTGGATGAACTCTTCTCCTCCACCCTGATCCTTCTAGAACCACGTGGAATGAACTTCGAGAAATGCCCCATTGCGTAGAACATTGGTTGCTTAAGAAATTCCCCTTTAACTGCGTCCACAATTATGGGAGAATCAACATAACTGCCTCCCCAGTTTGGACCTCCATTTGTGTCAAGACAGTAATTCCAGTCCATCCATCCAATTATATTGTTGTTCAAATCCTGCACATACATAAATAAGTAAAAAATATAGTTTAAGGTCTGGTTTAAGGGCTGTGCGCAAGCTTTAAATTATTATAACAATGGCCTCCAGACCGGATATTGGAAAATACGGCCAGTCTCAACGAAAATCAATGAACAAGCAACGGTACACTTTCCATTCACTCACTCTCATAGTCTGATGGGACTGAAACCGGAACAACCAGAGGGAGATCACACGCAGGAAAATTAACTTTACGTGCTTTCCCGAGGGTTACAAACCGCACAATTTCTAGTTACTGACTGCCACTAAGAATTTCTTTACAAAAAACGCATTAACTTATTTTGGCCTTACAGTATTCGCACTTACGACTACTAGAGTAACGAGGTTAAGTCAAGTAAATCAAGTGAGAGCCCGGTAAGCCCGCAGGGGTGATAAAATACGATAATCTTATGCATTGCAACATGAGCATATCCTGGACATATTATAATATAGTACATTGCTATATTTTTTCCTTAGTTAATTTTTGGGACACCAGTAATCTTTCATGTCGCGGTGTGATGTGTGTATTATGCTTTATTTTCTTTAACTCGTGATAGTCCTCTGCTGGACATCGATTTTACATTGTAGGAAAGATTTGATAATTGGCACGTTTGGGAGATGGATTCGCGAACGTAGCACCGATTTCTTTACGTCATCATCATCATCATTACAGCCCTTCACAAGTCCACTGCTGAATATAGGCCTCCCCCAAGTAACGCCACAAAGCACGGTCCTGAGCCACCTGCATCCATCGACTTCCTGCATGTCTTAACAGGTCATCACTCCATCTAGTGGGGGGTCGCCCTATACTACGCCTACCGGTACGAGGCTGCCACTCGAGATCCTTTATTCCCCATAGGTTATCGGTTCTTCAAGCTATATGGCCGGCCCATTGCCACTTCAGCTTACTAATCCGTTGGGCTATGTCGGTCACTCTGGTTTTACTGCGGATAACCTCATTTCTGAGTATCACGCAGAGAAACTCCGAGCATAGCCCTCTTCATAGCTCGCTGAGTGACCTTGAGTGTCCTCATACGGCCAGCAGTGAAGGACCACGTCTCTGATCCGTAAGTCATCACTGGCAACACGCACTGGTTGTACACTTTAGTTTTCAGAGATTGAGGTATACCTGACGAGAAGATGTGTCGTAATTTCCCGAACGCTACCCAGCCGAGTTGAATCCGTCGATTGACCTCTCGGTCGAAGTTGGACTTACCTCGTCGGACTATTTGTCCCAGGTAAACGTACTCGTCAACAACTTCGAGCATAGTGCTCCCCACAACTACCGGCATAGGTGTGACATGGACATTGAACATAATCTTTGTTTTGTCCATGTTCATCTTAAGACCTATCCGTTGTGAGACACCATTGAGGTCAATGAGCATAGTGCTAAGGTCCTCCAGCGATTCTGCCATAAGGACTATATCGTCGGCAAATCGAAGCTGAGTGATGTACTCGCCATTGATGTTAATACCGTATACTTTCCAGTCCAGTAGGTTGAAAACGTCTTCCAACGCAGCGGTGAAGAGTTTCGGGGATATAACGTCACCCTGTCTTACACCTCTCTGCAGTTGGATAGGTTTCGAACTCTGGTTCTGTACTCGGATAGCCATCGTAGCCCTAATGTACAAACACTTCAGCACTTCGATATACCGACAGTCAACTTGGCACCGCTGAAGGGACTGTAGCACCGCCCAAATTTCGATGGAATCAGAGGCTTTCTCATAGTCCACATACGCCAGGCAAAGTCTTTACGTGTTAGAGCCAAATTGCAGCTATATTATTGTTTCACCACGAATGGGTCGACTCGAACGAGGAAGGACCGAGTTCTCACAGAATACCAACGTCAAATAGTAGCACAAAATTATTGTGTTTCGTATGATGAGTGTAGAGAACCGGATACCTCTTTTACTAGATACGAGACATTTCATCTTAGCCTTCAGGAGTGGCAATGCATCTGTATTTTGACACTTAAGGAAAGATGTATATGTTTACGGGCCATGGCAGCTACTTACCATCAAGTAGACTGTTTGCCACCCTAATTCTATAAAAAAAGATGCCTCACACCTTAGACGCAGCTTTACGTTTCTGGTATGAGTTAAACTACTCACTAGGTGCTGATCTGCTGAGGTGGTGAATCTATCGCATTCCATGAGATATTTGTCACATTTTACATAATTGCCCTTTACGTGGTAGAGCTATGCCGCATCTATTTTCATAGTATAGTTGTATCACGAATTGGTCGGCTCGAACAAGGAAGGACCAAGCTCTACACAAAATACCAGCATAAAATAGCAGCTCCACGCTGCTGTGTTTCGTATGTTACGTGTAGAGAAACGGAGACCCATTTTACTAGAAACGAGGCATTCTTTCTTAATCCTCACGGGTGACAAAGCATCTTCATTTTGATTCGTACTCGATGATAAACGTAGATGTCTATGAGACACAGCAAACAGGTCAAGGTCAAATCACTGTGGACTGTGTGCTCGATTGTCAAATGTATCCTATAAAAAAACGATACCCATGGAATGAAATGGGGTGATGTAATATATGGTTTAGGATCAAGCTTACTACTTTTTAATTGCAATTCCCTTGGTGTTGCAATCTTTCGTGTGTGGCGGTCGACACTAACTCCAGTCCTTATTAAAACTTTTAACAACTACCAGTTAAACTTTAGAATACACTTTTTTATACTCAAATATAATTGAAAAACCATTAAATAACAAAAATGTTTATCTAGTGTGCACGCTGCAATTAATGACATAAACATACCTGAATAATGTCTTTGATGTAGTCTTCACCTCTTTCCCAAGATCCTAAATCGACTCTTTTCTCGTCAGTCGGAAGATTTCCTGAAACATTTTCAATATAAACCAAACGATATTGTTACAGAATTGAGATGACGAACGAGTATACAGTCACATAGACTTCGCATCCGTCTTCGATTAAGTTTCAAAATGTAGATGCATTGTAACTCCTGCGGACTAAGATGGAATTCCTCACTTTCCGTAAAACCGGTCTCCGTTTCTCTACATTCACTGTAAGAAAACAGCAGCATAAACCTGCTTTTTTACGCTGATATAATGTGCGAGCATGATCCTTCCCCGGTCGAGTCGATCCATTTTTGCTACAACCATAATATAGCTGCAGCAGGGATCCGACACGTATATTTTTAAACTAGCTGCCATTAATATTAGTTGTTATATATAGAATGTATCACTATAAAATAAAATAAAATGACTGATAAAGACTTATGAAAATGTTAATTAACTTTAAAATAGCCTTTAATTCCCTTTTCAAACACTTTATTCTATTGTGTGCGGTGTAAGAGAGTAGGTTGTGGCGGAAGCAAGAACGGCTTATTTCAGGCTAAATGGTATTCCGCTTTCATGCTATCCATACAAATACCTATATAAAGCACTATATAGGGTGCAGTCTATATCCAGAAATGGACAATCGTAAAATCGTGATGACGATATAGTGTTCCGCTGATAATCCAAGCAGGATTGGTTACTGTTACAGCAGAAAAGTTAATGTCTCTAATCGAATATTTTCTAAATAGTTACTTTAAAAACTTTCCCTTATTTTGTCACCCTCAGAGCCTAAGACCACCCTGCAAGGTTTACAATGAGAAAGGTATCGTGGAACATATAAACACAAAAACTTAGAGTAGAATTAAGAGTATCTCCTTCTTTAAAATAGTGTAAAATTCAATTATCCACTGATTTCAAGAATGCAATACATACCTCTGCAAGCTTCGGTGGCGATCACAAAGAGTTCTGGATATCTCTCATGCAAATCCTTAAGGGTCTGAACGGGAGTGCTCGTGTCAAAATAAAAGTGAACTGCTAGGCCATCGATGTAATCCAACACCTTAGGATAATTATTTATAATCTGGTGATAAAACAATAATTATAATCTGGAAACCACTTACGATCAGATAGAATAGTAGTCAAGTACCTATTAACTTATAATATTTGAAAAAATTTGTTTAATTATAAAGTAACTGCAGAACTTGTACACCCATAACGAATTTCAAACAAAGATCGTAACAAATGCGTTGTCCTACCTGATGAGAATGATGGAGTGACACTAAGCCTCTCATTAAACCAGCTCTATACCTAAAAGGATTGTGTTAAACTAGATGGAATCAATGGTAAAAAATAAGCCCTACCACCTAGAATGTAGTATGAAAATGCTCCAAATAATAATATTAATAAATCGACCGCGACTTCCCCGCAAACCCCTAAGCAAGCGAAATCGGGCTGTCGTGAGGGCTCTTAACCCAATGCTGGTAACTTATTTGGAAGCCAGCCGGGACCTTTGCGAAACGGACTCGGTTCTTTTTGGCGCCGCAGTGGCAGCTTGCCGTATTATTGGCGCCAAACTTCATATGGCTGGACGCGCTACTAATCAAAATAGCGCCATCCCAGCCTGGAGAAAAAGAATAGAGGACCGTATCGCAAAGGCAAGGGCCCTTATCGGCAGACTGACAAGCTTCAGGTCGGGTAATAATAGACAGAGGGTTGTGCGCCCCGTTAGAATGGCGTTTGCTGGGACAAATATCAGTTTGTCCCAGCCGGATATCACGCAGAAACTAACGGAGCGCATAGACGACCTGAAGCAAAAGATCGCTGCTTGGGGGAAGCGGATTCGCCGATTTACGGAGAGGTCAAGGCGGTTCAACCAGAATCGTCTCTTCCAGAGTGATCAGAAGAGGCTCTACAAATCTGGAGCGACCAGAGGTATGTGGAGCGGGCCCAGGACCGGATCAGGCTAAGACTGTCGCATTTTGGCGTGGCCTGTGGTCAGAGCCTGTAAACCACAGCGAGGGCCATTGGACGGAAGTTGTGGCGAGTCAGTATGCAAGTATTACGCCCATGGACCCCGTCATCATAACGCCGGATGATGTAGCTGAGGCGGTCCGTAAAGCCCCGAACTGGAAAAGTCCGGGACTCGACGGGCTGCATCACTACTGGCTGAAGGGGTTCATGGTGTGTCACGGCTGTCAGTTTCAAGAGGCTCTCAACCAGAAGTCGCTCCCTAGCCTCTTTACTACTGGGATCACTCATTTGGTTCCTAAAGACCAGGTTACTACAGACCCGAGCAAATACCACCCGATTACGTGTCTACCCACCATATATAAGACACTGACATCCATTTTGAGCGGGAGAATCACTCGTCACCTGAAGCTAAATCAGGTGATGTCACGCGCTCAAAATGGATGTCGGGGCGGTGGTCGTGAAACTAAGGAACCACTCCTCATTGACGCGGTCATTGGCAAAGTGGTGAAATGCAACCGTCGGAACTTCTCCGCCGCCTGGATAGACTACAGAAACAGCTTATCTTGAGAATCCATCTCCATCAGAGCACTTGTTTCACAGCTTCCACTAATAGTTCACATGCGCAGACACTTAATACACAAAATCGCATATTGGTCAATGATGTACACCATTGTCCAGGAATTAGCTCTATAACATAGTATAAATATTTTTAATTTATTATTATTATTCCTTTCATTATTCTATTATATACTATTGCCAACATAGTTAAAAGTAATATATTTATCTATTTATTTTTCATTATTTATCGTTTTTCAGAATATTATCTTTATATTATATTACATAAACATATACATTTAAAATATCTTTAGTTTTTTTTGCATTAAATCTGTCTGACAGCTGCTCGTATGTTTTAGATTAGTGGTCCCGACAGAATAACAGCGCTGCGGCTCTTTGCTGTAGCATAATGCTGAGTCGGGTCCTTTTCGTTGCTGCAATCCAACATAAATTTAAATACTTTTATAAATACTTTTTACTATTAATTGTTTATTTTTTGTGTTGAGTTAATTGTTGTTTTTTTTTTATGTGTTTGTATTAGCGTAGCAACGAATAAAGTTATTTTCTTTCTTTCTTTCTTTCTTTCTTTCAGAAAGGCATTAGACTCGGTGCCCCATACATGGCTAAAGAGAGTCCTCGAGCTGTACAAGATAGACTGTACAGTGAGAGACTTCCTCGAGCAGTGTATGGGGCAGTGGAGTACGATCCTTTGTCATCTGGGTGAGCGGATGATGGCTGCGGAGAACCACATAAGGATAAGAAGGGGTATCTTCCAGGGCGATTGTCTGAGTCCAATCTGGTTCTGCCTCTCTCTGAACCCTCTCAGTACCTTACTGGAGGGATCCGGGAGGGGATTTCAGCTACAGAAAAGAGGGGCATAAGTGACCCAACTTTTCCATATGGATGACCTCAAGTTATTCGCCTCCAGTCGCTCCCATCTTATGGAATTGCTAAAAATCACTTGTGAATTTAGCAATTCCATTGGAATGGAGCTTGGGACGGATAAGTGTGCGGTCCTCCATGTTGAAAGGGGAAGGGTTTCTAACTCTGAGGGCATAGATTTATCTATGCCCGTCAACTTAAGAACCCTTTCCGAGGCTGAAACATACCGATACCTGGGTATGTCACAGAACATCGGTATCGATGAGGCTGGTATGAAACAGTCAGTTTGCGACGTGTTTTATGCACGCTTGACCAAAGTGCTTAACAGCCTTTTGTCCGGTGTGAATAAGACACATGCATATAACGGTTGGGTAATGCCTGTCCTCATGTTGTATACCTTTGGCATACTCAGGTGGAGTCAGACTGAACTTAACGCCCTGGATAGAAAAGTCCACAATACAATGACGTCCCATAGGATGCATTATCCGAGATCGTCGGTAATGAGGCTGTACTTGCCGCGAAAGCACGGTGGGCGTGGCTTTTTGAGCGCGCTCACCATGCATAATCGCGAAGTGTGCAGCCTCCGTCATTACTTCCTGGCGAGATCGGATGATTCATTCTATAATGACGTCATTTCTAGTGATAAAGGACTTACCCCTCTATCCTTAGTCAACGAGCAATGGCAAGACCCGGCAGTACAGAGCATTTCCGACCGGGAGACCGTATGGAAGGAGAAGGAGCTCCACGGGAGGTACTACAGGACTCTACATGAGCCACACGTAGATACAGCCGCCTCCCTCAACTGGCTACGTTTCGGTGACCTCTTCGGAGAAACCGAAGGTTTTGCCTGTGCAATACAGGATCAGGTTATTAAGACCAACAACTATCGGAGATACATCCAAAAGGATGGCACTGTCGACGTCTGTCGAGCTTGTCGCCATCCCGGGGAGTCACTTAGGCGTGTCATCTCCGGTTGTTCGGCACTTTCTAATTCTGAGTACTTACACAGGCACAACCTAGTAGGCAGAATTCTACACCAGGAGCTCGCTCTGAAATACGGTCTCGTGGACCGGAAATTGCCGTATTACAAGTACTTGCCGGAAGCCGTGCTCGAAAATGACCGCGCCAGACTCTACTGGGACCGGGCCATCATCACAGACAGGACTATTCTTACGAATAAGCCTGATATTGTGCTAATGGACCGGGCACAGTCATGGATATTTTTGGTCGACATTACCATACCTTATGACGAGAACCTCGTGAAAGCCGAAACAAATAAGCAAACAAAACATCTGGACCTGGCTCACGAGATGAGCGACATACGGGGTGGTCGGCCGTATGTCGTAGTCGTCTCTGCGAATGGGCTAATCCCAGTCAGCCTTTCGGGTCATCTGAGGCGACTGGGACTCCGTGATGGACCGCTCCGGGCTCAAATGTAGAAGGCAGTGGTCCTCGATACCACCCGCATCGTCCGTCGGTTTCTTTCCCTTCCTAACCCTCGACCGTTTGGTCTCCCCTACCGAGGGCTTCCATCTGGTTGGATTTTTATTTATTTGTGTATTTTTTGGATTTATTTTATTTTATTGATATTTATGTATATTTATCTCTTTATTTTTAACCAACCAGATGAGAAAACTATACAGATACCCCAATAATAATAATAATATTTTATTTCAGACTTTGTCCATAAAGATGTTAGTAGAACAATAACTACTTAAAACTAATGTTAGTATTTAACTTTTTTAAACCTAAATTAAATATCGCTCCTACGTTACAAATATCTTATTTATTTACTTTTATTCAATTTTATATGTAGGCTCAACCAGTGCTTCATAATGGTAGAATCCCACCTATCAGTAAGTGTATTCAGGATGCTGTTGGTAGAGGTACGTAGTCGATTCAGTAATGAAGCGGTCCTTTTACGTATTATGGCATGAAAGCCATCCGTGTGTGCCTCGACGAACATGGCAGTGGCACTACAATTACGCGGCAATCCTAACAGCACCCTGAACGCATTATTGTATTGTACACGCAGCGGACATACCATGTCCTGCGTGCTTCTCCATGGAGGATGATCCAGAAATGCGTTCATCATGTTTTTAAGAAAGGTGACAATGCCCTCTTAAAGAACTACAGACCGATTTCCTTTCTGACTTCTACATGCTGTTTTCGAGAGTCATTATAAATAGTCCCTCACGCAGATTCGACGATTTAAAGTCTCCCAAAAAAGCCGTTTTCCATAAAGGCTTTAACACCCATAGACCACATACATACTCTAGGGCGAATTATACAGAAGACCGAGGAGTACAATCTGCCACTACGTCTTGCGTATATGAACTGTGAGAAAGCCTTTGATTTCATCGAAAATTGGGCGGTGCGGTGCCAAGTTAACTGGCGGTATGTCGAAGTGCTATGATGGCTATCTGAGTATAGATCCAGATTACGAAACTTATCCAACTGCAGCGAGATATAAGACAGGGTGATGTTATATCCCCGAAGCTCTTAATCCGCTGCATTGGAGAACGTTTTCAAGCTTGTGGACTGCAAAGGATACGGTATTAACATTAATGGCGGGTACATTACTCGCCTTCGGATTGCCGACGATATGGTACTTATGGCAGAATCGCTGGAAGACCTCAGCAACAAAGATCATGTGTAACGTCCATGTCACATCTATGCCGGTAGTTCTTGGGAGAACTAAGCTCGAAGTTGTTAAATATTGTGCTTACCTGGGACCAATAGTCCGACTAGGTAAGTCCAACTTCGACCGAGAGGTCAATCGACGGATTCTACTCGGCTGTGCAGCGTTCGGGAAATTACGACACATCTTCTCGTAAGGTATACCTCAAAACTTGAAAACGAGATTGTACAACCAGTGCGTGTTTCCAGTGATGACTTATGGATCTGTAATGTGGTCCTTCACTACTGGCCGTATAAGAAAGCTCAAGGTCGCTTAACAAACTATGGATGCTATGGTATTCTCTGTGTGACAAACTTAGTAATGAGAAATACGTAGTAAAATCAGAGTGACACCATAGCCCAACGGATTAGTAAGCTGAAGTGGCAGTGGGCCAGCCATATAGCTCGAAGAACCGACAACCAATGTGAAAAAAGTAGTGTGCTAGTGGCTAGTACTGGTAGGCCAAATATAAGGCCACCCCCCACTAGATGAAAAGGCGACCTGATAAGACATGCAGGAAGTCGATAGATACAGGTGACTCAGCACCGTGGTTTGCGGCATTCATTGTGGGAGGCCTATATTTAGTAGTGGACTTGTGACGTACTGTAATGATGATCCTGATGAAGATATATTTCATTACAAAGCAAGTAACAAATAGTAACTTATATTTATATAATTTTTAACAACACTGGAACAAAAAGGATCTTTGGCATGAGAAATCGAGAATCACAATAACGTGAAAAGTATTTATCTCATTAGGAAAATGCTCAGAAACATGCCTACCTACACGTATACTGTGTGACACACACACCAGTATCTATTTGTAAATTAAATTTTTTTTTTTATAGAAGAGGGGGCAAACGAGCATGTGGCTCACCTGATGTTAAGTGACTACCGCCGCCCATGATCAACCGCAACACCAGGGGAATTGCAGGTGCGTTGCCGGCCCTTTAGAAAGGAGTAAGCTCTTTTCTTGAAGGTCCCCAGGTCGTATCGGTCCGGAAAAATCACCGGTGGTAAATTATTCCACAGAGAGGTTGTACGCGGAAGAAAACTCCTTTTGAAACGTACAGTGGTGGACCGCCAAGCATCCAGATGGTGTGGATGGTATCGGGACGTTTGCCGTGTAGTGCGTTCACGAAATTTGGCGGCTGGGATTAATCCGAACAATTCCTCAGAGCACTCCCCGTGATAGATGCGATAAAATACGCAAAGAGATGCAACATCTCTTCGCAGCGCCAGTGAATCGAGCCGATCGGAAAGCACTCGGTCGTCAACGATTCGAGCCGCTCTGCGCTGGATGCGGTCAAGTGGAAGGAGCTGGTACTGGGGAGCCCCAGCCCAGAGATGGGAACAGTATTCCATGAGCGGCCGAACCTGCGCCTTGTAAAGTTGCAGGCGGTGTGCCGGCATGAAATACTGTCCCGCTCTGCTGAGCACGCCTAGCTTTTTAGAGGCCAATTTAGCCTTCCCTTCCAAGTGACCACGAAACTGCACGTCACTCGATATGTCGACGCCGAGGATTCCTGGCTGAGGCAACAAGGGGAGTGCCTTGAAACTGAGGGGATACGACAAAGGGGTTCTTTTAGCGGTTAACGCGCAAACTTGTGTCTTCTGGGGGTTAAACTGGACTAGATTTAGTCGCCCCCAATCCGAGACTCTGTCGTGCAGAGACTCGACTTCAGACACAAGTTTGTCCCTGCACTCAGAGACGTTTTCCCGAGAAATATTGGCTCGGCCGGTGTAAAGAGCATCACCAGTGCTGTCATCTGCATAGCAATGAATGCTACGGGTTTGCAACATATCATTGATATGCAGAAGAAACAGCGTTGGCGATAGCACGCAGCCCTGTGGAACACCAGCATTAATAAGCTTGCAATCGGAGCTTGCACCGTCTACAACGACCTTGATGCTCCGATCTGCAAGAAAACTGGTGATCCAATCGCACAATTTCTCGGGAAGCCCATAGGAAGGGAGCTTCGAAAGAAGCGCTTTGTGCCAAACCCGATCGAAGGCCTTCGCAATGTCCAAACTAACGGCCAATGCCTCCCCCTTGGACTCTACTGCCTCCGCCCATCTGTGAGTTAGGTAGACCAGAAGATCACCAGCTGACCTACCACGGCGAAAACCGTATTGGCAGTCACTAATCAGCTGGTGATCCTCAAGGTACCTCATGAGCTGGCAGTTTACAATGGACTCCATTGTTTTGGAGAACAAGGAGGTGATGACGATAGGTCGGTAGTTGGACGGGTCTGAGCGGTCGCCTTTTTTAGGGATCGGGTGGACGAAAGCCGTCTTCCATGATTTTGGGACTACGCCTAGGGAGTAGGAGTACCGGAAAAGACGCGTTAAAACCGGTTCCAACTCTGGAGCACACGTCCTCAGCACAATTGGGGGGATTCCATCAGGCCCACTCGACTTATGGATGTCCAGGGAGAGGAGTGCTTTGCGAACCGAGCGCTGAGTGAACTGCACTTCCGGCATGGAGCACTCACACCGCGGGATGGTCGGCGGCGTACTCCCCCCGTCATCGAGAGTCGAGTTAGACGCAAAGAAAGAGCCTAGAAGATCGGCTTTCTCCTTTGCGGTGTGGGCCAGTGAGTCGTCCTCCCTGTGCAGAGATGGAAGAGATGGCTGACAGAAATTCCCCTGGACAGCCTTGGCGAGAGACCAGAATGCACGGGTTCCAGAAGGAAGACGAACTAGTCTCTCGCCATTTCTGCCTATGTGCTCTGACTTTGCCTTGGCAATGACTCTTTTGAAGGACCTAGAGGCGGAATTATACTTCTTTTTTAGAGCGCTGGTGTTAACATCCCTGGACGCTGATGCGTCAGCCCAGGCTCGGTAGCACTCCTGCTTATAGCATGATGCTATTTTACAGGAGCGACCAAACCATGGCTGAGATTTGCCTCCAATGGGCACCACAGAGGAAGGAATAAAAAGTTTCATACCCTGAAGTACCACATCAGCGACAGAATCCGCAACAACGTTGGGATCATCCGGCGAGAAGCAAACCCGCCCCCAAGGGTAGGATGCAAAGAAAGACCGCATCCCATCCCAATCGGCTGACCTATAGTGCCAAACACGGCGGCAGCCTGCAGAATGCAACCGCGATTTCAGCGTGAGTGGCACCACACTCCGGACAAGACAATGGTCCGAGGAGCCTAAAGGGGCGTCAACGGAAATCTGATATCCGTCCGGGTGAGAGGTCAGCAGAAGGTCCAACAGGGAAGGTGCATGATCCTCCACATCTGGAATCCGCGTAGGCGAAGTAACCAGTTGTGTCAGACCATATGCCAAGGCAAAATCATGAACAGATCTCCCCGCATGATCGGTTAAACGTGAACCGAGCCATTCGGCGTGATGGGCGTTAAAGTCGCCGAGGATCACGATCTCTGCGGAGGGAATCTGCTGTAGCAACGAATCTGCAGCCATTTGGACGTGGTCGAAGAGTCGGTCTGTTTCGGCATTACCGCTATGGGACCTATAGAGGCACCCGTAGACGCGCGGATGGTCGTCGCTGTCTACGCGTAGCCAAAGGATGGACAGGTCCGAACCTTCAAGTCTGCCGAGGCGTCGAGAACAGATGTCCTCTCTGACGTAAACGCAAACTCCAGCCCGAGGCACAAAGGAGTGTTCCAGTTTGTACCCCGGGCAGGAGAGATACGAGACATCAGCCGGAGAGGACACCTGCGTCTCGGTCAGAAAGAGCAGAGCCGGCCTCGCCGTCTCGAGATGGTAGTGGACGGCGTTTAGGTTAGAGTGAAGTCCCCTGATATTGCAGAAATTCACGGACAGCGTGGCAGGGGTCGCCTTGGTCTTGTTGCTCCATTTGCCCCGAGCAGTTTTAGTCTTGAGCGGAATATTGCCCCCCCCCCCCCCCCCCAGAATACGCAGGGCAGCCTGAGCACCCACGCTCAGAAGTGGAGAAACATGGTCGTGGATGCTCAGCGAGGGATTCTCCAGGGGTGCTGGTACCCTCCTGGGGTAGTCTATCATTTAATTCCGCTACCATGTTGATGGGGGGGGGGGATTTGGGCCTCCGGCCACCTGCACTCACCAGACGAAACGCGGAAGCAGAGCTTCCACTTCACGCCGGTATTCTGTGAGGTCGTGGTACCCCCCCGGTTTGAGCCGGCCCATACGTGCGACAGCAAAAGCTGCCGCGTGGCTCTACCACTGTTAATCAATAAACTTTATATTATTTTTAAGTTAACTTACGAAGATTAACTAAATAGAATATTTCTTACATCATAGAAATCGCTAGTAATCGTATACCGCTGATCATCCAGCGCAAGGATCTTGGTTTCCTTAAACGTTGAATTGCGAATCGTCGGCCCCAGATTTTCAGCTATAAATTTACCCTGAAATGAATTGATCTCTTAAGCTAACGGTGTGTATCACACAAAAATATAAAATAATATCTAATTATTAAGACATCTATGTGAATTTATGATCTCACTCTCAGATAAAAATAATTAAGTTTATAACTTCTCATATATAACCCACTGCATTACAGCCTATAAAAGTTCACTAGGCCACCACAAATAGATCTCCGCCATAGATTGACTCAGTTGAAACGATAAATACGTGAATTAGTTTAAATAAATATGTAGTATTCAATATAATAATAAAGCGTGCAGTGGCGATGTAATAATATCCACTAGCCCCTATAGTCCCGTGGATGTCGCAAGGGGCGTTAGAGGTAAACAAACCAGGAGAACGCTGCCTAGCGTCTTCCTGATAACAACTGAACGAATAAAAACAGTGGCTACCAACCCACTTGCTAACATATAAAACTATTGCTAATATCCCCCATATAAGGCATCCTATGAGGGGTACTTATGTTGCTGAAAGACTGTTAAATAAGTAAGAAAGTAAAATGTGACCAAAAATATGTTGGATGTTGAAAATCTTACCATTTGTTTTGCAATAAATGCTATGCAGATCTTGGCTGGTATATCGGTGAAGGCAACTGTCGGCTCATTAGTCGTTGTGATTCCCCAAACCGGAATTCCTTCCAGGGCGTATTTTTCTAAAAATCTAAACAATTGTTATAACTCAGCTTTATAAACCAACAGGTATACATTTCGCTTTATTAGACTGATTCTTTGCCTGGCAGCTGAAAACGAATGTACCAGTTCGACAAGAAAACATTCCTTTGCGTTTCATATGATGAGTAACTAGAACCAGAGAACTTTTTTTTTACTGGTAACTTTTTTTAATGGAAACTGGAATCAATTCTTATAAGACCATAGGGATGACAACGCGTTTGTATTATAATTCTTAATCAAAGATGACGGTGTAGGTGGAGCTGTAGGTTTCTTTGAGCCACTTACCATCAGGTGGGCTATAAGTACATCTGATACCCTTAAGTGTGGGAAAAAAATTGTTCACCATGTATTGGCAGTGTTTTGATGGGCTATAACGGTAAAGGAAATAAATGAACTAGACAGATAATGAGAGAACATCTACAAGGCGGTCGAAGTTAAGCGTTAAATTCTAGGTCCATGGTTGTTAAAACTCAAGTCCTGTTGCTAAGCGAATTTTGAAAACCCTAATTGAAAAAACCTACTTATAAAAAAGTGAAATATAACTATCGCTGCAAAAACAATTGAAAATGCTACTAAGTTCTTTTTTAACCTTTAAGAGCCAGCACCTGCACTATCTCATTCACAATTGGTTTTGAATGTTGATGCAGCTGAAGATGCTAAAGCGCATTTATATAGCTTAGCAAAAGTCTGTACACTTTTCCTGAAGACACAAGGAAATGAGATGGAAAGAAACATACTGGCTGATTATTCCACTATATTGCTGTCGCTCGTAATGCGACAAAGTAAATAGTTTGGTTTGAAAGCGTTGTATGTTGATATAAGTGTAGAGATTGACCGAGCCTCTGATAGATAGTGGAAGGGTAAGAGAGGAATAAAGTTATGCACGAGGAATGTGAAGATCCACATTCCTCGTTCATGATGGTTATGATGATTAATAATATCAGTCCTTACTTCAAGTGATAATCAGCGTACGTCTGGTAGAATTCATTCTTCAGGAAACCACACGTAGGATTGTTATCCGTATAGTACTTCATCCACTTAGGAGGCGACCAGGTAGAGGCGATGACGTATACAGGCGACTTGGATACATCCATCATTCTTTTAATTATCGGTATCTGGAAATACGATTGATAGAACGAAATAATTATTCCATAAAAAAAAATTCCGTGGCGGGGTGTGAAAAATCATTACCAATTTTCGTTTTGAAGTTTCTAACAAAACCTCATAGCTTTCTATAAAAGACAGTATTATCATCTTCTTTACATCCATCCATTCCATTACAGCCTATAAATGTCCACTGCTGAATATACCCCCCCCCCCCATATAAATCCTCCAATCCATTGTCTCATAAATCCTCCCGATTTTGTCACAATTTTAGTGGTTAACAGTAACTGGAGAGATACATCTCCATCAGTGGAATTTTATAGGTTGATGAAAAAGAAGAAGAAATAGGAGTAGGGAAGACTGAATATACATGAAATTTAAAAGTATTAGGAATTACTGGCATCTACCTCCGAGCCTTCTCGGGCAACGGCAGGACTGGTTTCTTTATCTCGAGTTCGAATAGGAATTGTTCGCGTACTGTGAAATTTCCAAGGAGCCCTCAACCCCTGAGTACATGAATGACCACATGAATTTACGTGCAAGTTTACAAACACGACCTTCTGATCTAATCATGTAGTGGCTTTGTAAGCATTTCCAATACCCCATAACATACGAGGGTCTCGTAAGAGGCGACAGAGGAAATCTCAACACTGCATCTCAACTCTGGGCAGCGGCAACTTCCTGATAACAGCTCAAAATAATAAAGAAATGCATTCAATCCACCTGCGTGGCCGCCATGGTAATTATGAATCATCTACGGAGAGAATGAAAAATCTACGGAGAGAATGAAAAATCTACGGAGAGAATGAAAAATCTACGGAGAGAATGAAAAATCTACGGAGAGAATGAAAAATCTACGGAGAGAATGAAAAATCTACGGAGAGGTTTTTGTTCAGCAGTGGACTTTAGTAAGCTGTAACAGTAACGGTATACAAATAGATTATAATCATAATAATAACCTTTATTGATTTCGCCAACAAATACTAAATTTATTGATTTCTTAAATTTACGCGAACACTACACATTGAATAAAATCATTATTTACGGATTTTATCGTGTTTAATTAACTACTTTAACTTATTTTTAAATTCCCGACGTTTCGGGTGTCTTACAGCACCCATGGTCACGGGGGGGACTAACATGTTTGACGTTACAATTTCATAGTTAGCTCGGCTAACTTCAGTTTTTTTATATTAATTTTCAGTCCGATCTACGCAGAACGAGCTTACAGTATCTTGAAGTCTTGCAGTGGTATGCTTAGGTTTAAGTTTAATTTTGTTAATTATAGGATCCCTAGCAGATGGCAGCACCCATCCATCTTCTCTATTGAAATAAGGATGTATTTTAATTTCAATAGCCTCGCGTATCACCCTTGGTGATTGTGTTCCTGTGCTCAGTGTTCCTTTGCGAGGATTTGTGGTTTATCAAATCTGATGTAATGGTGGGGACGATTTTAAACATTTTCACAGACTGCAGACTTCCCGGAGCGTCAGTGCTTTACACCAGCTATATGTTCTTTCACGCGGGTTTTTATGGATCTTTTTGTTTGATTTATGTAAGAGAGACCATAATCACAATCTAACTTGTACACTCCTGCATCTTGTAGAGGGATATTACACTTGACGGATGGCAAAAATTGACTAATCTTCTTCGGCGGCTAGTAGTATGTTTTAATGAAAGCTCGCTTTAAGATGTAGCCAACCTTGTCTGTGACTCCTCTGACATACGGTAGTACAGCAGGCACACGCTCGACTGTGACCGGTTTCACTCGGTCACGGAGCGTAGGTGCGAGACCCGAAACTTGTCTTGCAATACTTGCTTGACATGCTGAAGCTCGACGGCCAAATTTAGCTGGGCTAACTATGACATTGGGACGTCAAACATCTCAGCCCCCCCCCATGATCATGGGTGCTGTAAAGCACCCGAAACATCGGGAATTTAAAAATTAGTTAAAGTAGTTAATTAAACGCGATAAAATCCGTAAATAATGGTTTTATTCAAAATATTACATTGCATAATTTATCGTTACACACATATTTTACATACATAAACACTCACGCCTGTCACCCAGAGGGGTAGGCAGAGACTACAGACTTCCATTTGGCACGATCCTGACACACCTCTCTCGCCTCCTTCACATCCATACATCTACGCATGCATGCTCGTCGGTTAAGGGTACTCCTAATTTGGCCCGTTTTCAATAAATCGCCAATTCGGTCGATAAATTTTCGCCTAGGACGTCCCTTTCCGACTCTGCCATTCACTTCTGCAACATAAATTTTCTTTGTCACTCTTTCCTCATCCATTCTTTCCACATGACCAAACCACCGAAGCATTCCTCTCGTGCTTCTTCTGCCACACCCAACTTTCACTACCATACGTTAAATTAGGGACCAACACAGCATTGTGAATTGCCATACGTGCCTTTTTTGACACATTTTGACTCTTCACAATAGAGTGCAGGGCCCCATTTACTCTGTTTCCTGCGTTCACTCGTCGTTCTATATCCTTATCATATCTCCCATTCCTGCTAAATACGCAACCCAAATATACAAACTCATCTACTTGCTCGATCAACTCCCCTTCTATTCTTATTTCACATATCGTTTTACTTTCATCTCTTTCAAAAACCATAATTTTCGTCTTACTTGCGTTCACTTTCATACCCCCTTTCTTTTAATGATCTGTTAATTAATGTAACCATCATTTGCAACTCAGCCGCCGACGACGCAAGAATAACTTGATCATCGGCGTACAAAAGGCATCTGATGGTTAACTCACCCATTCTTAATCCGCATTCTTCAACTTTAAAATTTTGCAAACAACTGTCCATAAATAGGTTGAACAACCACGGGGAAGCCACACAGTCCTGTCTGACACCTTTATGGATGCCAAACCAGTCGGAGTAGACCCCGTTGATCCTAACACATCACTAGAGTCCCTATAAAGAAACTCCGATGCCTGTATCAAGCCAGCGCTCAACCCAAATGAGTTCAGTGTTTGCCATAGCACATTCCTATCCACTCTGTCATAGGCCTTCTCCAAGTCCATGAACGCACAAAAAACCTTTTGGTTTTTGGCCAAAAACTTCTCCGCAATCATGCGCATGGAGAAGACTTGATCTGTACATCCCATTCCCTTTCTAAATCCCGCTTGCACATCCCAAATTTTTCCATCGGTTTCTTTCATGACCCTTTCAATTAGTACCTTGGCATACAATTTTCCCACGATGCTAAGGAGGCTGATGCCGCGGTAGTTTTTACAGTCCTGCTGCGACCCTTTTCCCTTATATACTGAGACTATCACGGCTTTGCACCAGTCTCCCGGTACCCGCTTCAGTTCCCAGCATACATTAAACAAGGTGTGCAGCAGGCCTGCCACCACTTCCTCTCCAGCCCTTAGCATTTCGAGTGAAACTCTATCATAACCGGCAGCCTTACCTGCTTTCATGCTTTTCATTGCTTTCATTATTTCATCTATACTTATCTCGCTACCTACTTTCTCTTCTTTCGGAGTTCCTATTTCATTCAGTTCATACGTTGTCTCCTCACTCATAAACATGCTTTCAAAATATTCCTTCCATCTCTTTAAACTCAAAACTTCATCATTCAGAATATAGCCATTCTCATCTCTTATAGCATTAATTATAGGCTGTTTTGAACGTCCCCTGGCAGTTCTTACGAGTTTCCAGAACATTTTAATATTTGCCTGGAAGTTATCCGATATTCTTCTATCATTCTTATCCGTTCTTTCTTGCTTTTTCCTTTCAACTACTTCTTTTACTCTTTTATTTAGATGTCTAAAGACTGCCTTTTTTCTTTCAAAATCATCATTCGTACCGCTAGAATTACCAGCCTTAGTTGCTAGTAAATCTAGCCATGCTCTCTTCTTTGCTTCAACTTCCGTACGTATCTCATCATCCCACCACAAAGTATTATTTTTCCTTTCATTCTTTCTTTTACTAACACCACATACTTCGGTAGCTGCATCTACTAAACCTTTCTTAACATTTTGCCATACATTCTCCAAGTCGAACTCATTCATACATAATTCATCCAAACCACTTACGTTTTCTTTCAGTCTACATTTAAACTTGTTTTTCTCACCTTCATCTTGTAATCTTTCTGTTCTAATACGCTGTAACGCAGTTGTAGACACAGATGACCGATGGCGCCACCGCCTGAATAGACCATTAATTCGGCATAAAACCAAAAAATGATCCTACGTTCCTACGTTTGACCCCCGGTAAACCCTTGTATCCACCACTGCGCCCCTCAATCTTTCATCCACAATTATGAAATCTATCATGCTTCTATCATCACCTCTTTCCCAAGTATACATGTGAATCCTCTTGTGGCGAAAGAAAGTGTTCGTCACAAAAAGATTCTTTTCCATACATACAGTGAGGAGGCTTTCACCATTCTCATTTATACTTTCATCACCAAACGTTCCCAATATCCTTTCATAACCAAGCCTCCTCACCCCAACTCTTCCATTAAAATCTCCTAGCATAACAACATTTTCATTTCCCTTACATTTCATTAATACCATCCTTACCATTTCCCAAAACTGCTCTCGGATATGAGGGGGCTTAGACATGTCTGGGGCGTAGACCCCTAGCACAAACAACTTCTTTAAGCCCACTTTCAATCGTATCCATAGCAGTCTTGGGCTTACACATTCATACTCTTTCACACATTGCACCATTCTTTCTGATAGGATGATACCTACTCCCTGGCATGCCCGCTCGAGCTCGTCTACACCAGACCAGTATGCGGTATACATGCCATGTGTAGTGACATCCTTCCCCTTCCGTTTCGTCTCATTTACACATAACAAATCTATTCCTCTATCATACATCACCTCGCATACTTCATCCATTTTATCATTCATTGCTCCACATACATTCAACGTAGCCAGACGGGCCTCTGCAATCCACTTTTCGCCCCTCCGGGAGACAGAACGTGACGGGTGGCGAGCCTCGTCGCCGGTTTTCCTCCCGGAGATTCTTCGCACCCCTGCCCCATTAAAGGGGCGCCGGGAACTCGGGGCCATTTCTTTAATTTGATTCCTCATGGTGCGAATGGGATGGTATATTTAACGCCGCTACCACGGCGAGGAGCCGAGTCTGTGCTATCTTGGCTTGTCGCTCATTTAGCACCACCCGGGGGGACACGTGTAGGGTGGGCCTAGGATTAGGTGGTCAAAGCCTACGGACGCGAGCGACTTATCCCCCACACATATTTTGTTAAATCCCCCACACATAACATATTTTGTTAAATAAACAAATGGGTATGTGAGACGGGATTCCTAACCAGGATACCCTCTGCTACGGAACGCCCAGCCCCACCCCCCCCCATTTTTGAGTGATCAGCTGTATGAAGCAAGCTGTGTGCACGCGTATGCACGTTTGCGAGGGTGTGTGAATACATGCAATATTTGGTTTTATCGCAATTTATAGTGAGACTATTTGAAGCCAGATAGTGGCAAACTATACTGAAACTATCCTGTGCAATTTTGAAAACTTTTGACCAAGAGTTACCGTAAAACGAGAGGGTTATGTCGTCAGCATATGAAATTATTTCATGATTTGGAATACTTAATAGACATATATTATGTACATAGCAAATGAAGAATGTAGATCCAAAAATAGTGCCTTGTGGTGCTCCTTAGGTGAATGGGCTTACATTACTAACAATTTCCTATATCCTCATTCGTTGTAATCGATTTTGTTAGTTATCTTTTAAAGATTGTGATTGTAAATTTTTAATACCTAGTTTTTCAAGTATCGCGATGTATATATATAATTTTTTCCAGACGTTAAAAAAGTCATCTAGGATATATATATATATATATATATATATATATATATATATATATATATATATATATATAATATTTACCATTCGTCTGCATAGATGGAGTGAAAACTTGTTGTAAGAGATGCAGGAAGTCATACAGGTAGCCCAGGAGCCCACCTCTTTGTGACATTCTTTGGGGAGAGACCTATGTTTAGTAGTAGACTTATGAAAGGCTACTAGTAGTGATATATACGATCTAGACGTCTTGCTGTCCCGCGTATTTTTTGAGAAATGAACGTGTAATTACCTTATAGTGGTAATCTTCGTTGGACAGCGTATAGTTCGTCAAATCATAGTCGTCGATTGGTGACTCGTTATAGGCGAACTCGCTCAGGGAGAAGTCACTCCCACCGATGGGAACCCGAAGCATGTTATACTCCAAGCCCTTGTCACTAAAGTAGGATCTATAAAAATACCATAACTCTATAGTATCGTTTAAACGAAAAACATTATAACCAGAGTAACTAACAAAACCAAACGGAACATTATTCAGGAAAGATACAACGGATACGGTGTATAAGAAACAAAGTTTTGCAATCGAATATTAGTTTCTTTTTTCTTTTACTAACTCATCATGGTTGGCTAAGTCGTTTAGGTACTAGCCTTAATTGGGTACGCAGTCTTACACATCTTTTCGGTAATTTTACTAAATTAAGCCCAAGATATAAATCGTAGAGCTGAAAGGACACATCATTCACAAATATTTACACTACAATAATATTAACGTGCAAAAAATAGTTTTTTTCTTTCTTTCTTTCTGATTATACTATTGTGCTCATTTTTTTCTCGCCACCTCGAGGGTAATAGCTGAAAATCAGTGTTAGCTCTCTGAGCAATATTAATCGCTGAGCTATAACCCATTTGTTAAACTGCAACACACATGTACATTTAGATCTTAAGTTATGTATTTTTTTTACATAATACTTTGATTTGTATATCTAGTTTAGTCACTGAATTTACGTGTGTGATTGGAGAAACAGATAAACGCTTTTATCTATCTATCTATCTAACTATTTTATTGTCTGCTAAGCACATCCTATGTCTTCTTTTTTTTAATAGTACATTTGCATTTGAGCCTCTTCTTATTTAAGCATCATGGCTCCATGTATCTGTAGTTCACCAAAAAATATTTACCCTTCCTCTCCCCAGTATTTTCTCATGTATAGTAAAATGTTAGTGAGAAAAATTATATAAACTGCCCCTACGATACAGGAGAGAATCCTTATCTCTTTTTTACGCATTTTTTTTTTCTTAAGATGACGGTGATGAAGTTTAAGAAAGAAATTTACATAAAATTAAAATTACTTAATCAAGTTTTCCTGCGCGGGACGCGGCAAGCTTTTAACATTATATCCAGCGGTCCCAGTGGCCCCCGCCCCGAAGCCTTCTATCGTCTGATACATCTTATACGGGTGCAATTCGAAAAAATACTTACATTTTTCTGCGAAGAAAAAAAATATTAATCACAAATGTTTTTCTTTTATTTTAGTTGGAAAGAGCTTCCGGTAGAAGAATGGGTCTTGTGTCGTTAAAGTGTTTAACAATATAACTATAAATAATATTTTTATTTTAGTAAGTATAATAATTTAATGTTAATATTTAAAATAATAAGATTTATTAATAAAAATATAAATATTATTTTTAATTAAAAGTAAAACCAACTATAAAACCACAAAAATAAAATAATTTCTCCATAATAACTTCTGGAGTCGGTATATCGAAGAATTACGAGTAAAGTCCCGGCTTCAGAAGCTATTGTATGGATTTCTGTTAGTTTGTAAAGTATATGAAGTCTAGAATTGAAGGTATTACTTTTTATTAAAAGTTTATTTATTTAACCCTTTTGATCTAAGGAATACCAGAGTTTTACTCCTATATAAGTAAATAATAACTCAAACACAACACCACCTATCAGCGGCGCTATGTTTTTTGTGAACAAAGCACCCGATCCGAGTAGCGAATGGTATATCACAAGAAACCAAGAAATAATTCATCCTAAAAAAATTTAAATTATAAAAATGAAATAACTTACCTTGACCGCGAATTGGCTTGAATTTTCCAAAGTTTTTCTTAAAACGTGATCCTGTCTAGATAATAGACATTAAATTAGATATGAATGAGAAAATAAAAAGGTAAACCCAAAAAGCTGAAGGAAAACATTCAAGCCGAGGTAAAAATTTTACAAACTTATGGCCTTATATGAGCGTTCGGATTAAGATTTATTTTGGCTTATTTATAATAGTATTACTTTAAAAATAATAGTCCCCAAACAACCCAAAGAAAATGATAATTTAATACACGATGCCCTGCATCAATTAATTTTTTGAAAAAATTTTAAAAGTTTAGTTATCACTTGCTCAGCGGTAGACGGAAACAAAGTATGAAACCTGAATTTCTTAGGAATTTACTAATATTTACTACCCGATCCATACCTAAATTCTCCCGGGAAGTTTGTAATTTACCACCCCTGGCTTACCTTGTTCCATAGCGAAGGTTTATATAGAATTGACTAATTGTTATGAATAACAATTAGTCAATTCTATTATATTATGACAGAGCTATAGGGTATGTTCCGAAATACAACGCAGTGTACTGTCCAAAGCAAATGACGTCATCATTTGACACTTTATTGTACTAGCGTGCCACCGCCATATTGTGTCGGATATCCGGCCATAATAAAACAATTTTTAATTGTGTGTTTGCCGAATGAAGCATGCCAGAATTTGTTTCTATTTATTCAAATACAAAAAATTATAGAATAATTGATGGTATATCCATTAGGAGGATATAATGATTTTTGAAGCACAAAATGACAAAATAATCGCCAACACTTTTCCAAATGGCGCAAAAGTATGACGTCATATACTGTCCAATGTTTTGAAACGAATCACCAGGACAGCGTCGATTCATGACGTCATTTGCATTGGACAGTACACTGCGTTGTATTTCGGAACATATCCATAGTACGGCTTGAGCACGACTGTATTGGCACGATTTTTTTAAGATATAATACTCTATGGGCACGACCATGGAAGGATCTATGATCTCATTTGTATGAAGAGTGATGAGAACGCACTTGCACATGCCGAAATTTTTTTTAAGTTACAGCCTATATACGTCCCACTGCTGGGCACAGGCCTCCCCTCATTTCTGAGAGGGTTTCAGGGCAAGGAAGTGTCACACACACACACACGCACACGCACACACACACGCACACACACACGCACACACACACGCACGCACCCAAGCACGGACGCACGCACGCACGCACGCACGAACGCACGCACGCACGCACGCACGCACGCACGCACGCACGCACGCACGCACGCACGCACGCACGCACGCACGCACGCACGCACGCACGCACGCACGCACGCACGCACGCACGCACGCACGCACGCACGCACGCACGCACGCACGCACGCACGCACGCACGCACGCACGCACGCACGCACGCACGCACGCACGCACGCACGCACGCACGCACGCACGCACGCACGCACGCACGCACGCACGCACGCACGCACGCACGCACGCACGCACGCACGCACGCACGCACGCACGCACGCACGCACGCACGCACGCACGCACGCACGCACGCACGCACGCACGCACGCACGCACGCACGCACGCACGCACGCACGCACGCACGCACGCACGCACACGCACGCGCACACACACCGCTGCCCCAATGCGCGTTGGCGAACTTTTCATATCTTCAAAATATTTTTTCCTTATTCCTCAGACATGCAGGTTTCCTCACGATGTTTTCCTTCACCGCCGAGCAAGTGGTGGTAAATCAGCACTTAAAATCGCAATTAACAATTTCATTGGTACCGGGAATTAACAGCCGAAGAATTACGCCCTAAAAATAGGATAACCTTAGTTTAAATGTAAGTAGCTAATTAAGTTACGTCGATAAGTTAGTTTATTACATTTATTCTGTTATTTTCAATCCATTTTCCAAACGTGGTGAGGATCGGGCTACACCCGGCAGTGGACTGTTTTATACATTTTTGTACAGTGTGAAGACAAACAAACTAAATTATTGCATGTAAATTTACCTTGGATGAAGTATAAGTAACGTAGTGACCTTTCTGAGGGATTTCTCTCGTTAACTCGTCGCAGTATGTGGAGTTGCAAACACATATTACCGACTTTTCTTCGATCTGTCTTGCTGCACAGGATTTCTCATTTGCTCTAAATTGACCTTCAATTAAAGAAAGAGTTCTCATCTTTATTTATATAATTCTTCTGTACGTTGTTTATTCCTGAGCTCCTCCACAACGGCTGTACAGATATTGTCGAATTTTATCCAAATATATATATATATATATATATATATATATATATATATATATATATATACAACATACCAGTTATTACCGGCACGCATTTTACGATTTTAAGAGACAAATTTCAGATTTGGAAAGACAAAAATTTGGCGACCCCCACTAGTAAAAAATTTTATTTAGTGGTGAGGGGGGGCTAAAATGTTTCAAAACATTCAATATATCCAAAATAAAAATATTTTCAAAATTTTATTTCACAACTTTGTGGGTAAGATTAATATCTATAATTATGCCAACTTACAGCTTTGTAGCACCTAGAGTCTTTGAGTAAAACTACGGACGGACGGATGGATGGACATGTCAAAACTATAAAGGTTTGTTTTGTGTTTGTTTTTTAACCACAGAACCCTCAAATAGTGTTATAGCATGATTAACACATGCAGCTATTAAGTAGGCTAGACAATGCACATAAATTGTACAGTATAGAAAATTATAACATTCAGGTTTCTGCTAGAGATGGGCCGAATATTCTTTTTATATTCGGTATTCGGCATATTTGGCAGCTTTGCCGAAGATTCCTATTCGGCCGAATATTCGGCTAAATCACCAAACATTCGTTTTCATAGCGTCCAATGTATTGAAATGTATGAATGGAGTAATGCGATGTCTTTTACTGTTGAAAGTATATTTTATTTATGGGTTAGACCTACTTACCCTAGAGTGTCTCAAATGCATAAATCTATATATTTATGTTTTTGACGCACTGTAGATTTATTTCCGAATTATAGCAAATAGAAACTTGGCAAAATGTTTTTGGAATCAAACAAAGAAACCTTACATACATTACATTAGTACATTTCACTTTACTTTGGTCGTCAGTTTCTCTAAAATAAGTGCAAATAGTATCTCCTGCCGCTAATTTTTATCATATAATTATCAATTTTTACTAAGAATAAAACAAGGAAATACTTTTTTTATCACAAGAATAGTCAAAACATAAGCATGTGCCGGCAATTTGCTCAGTACTAGATGATGCAATAACTGTCAGGTGTGGCGGGGAGCGAGAAGCAGGGTCCGGGGCTAATCCCGCGCGCTTTACGGTAACAAGTTTCAACATAAATTGGTTAGGTCCCGAGGTTATCCTGCCGAATAATGTTCGACCGAATATTCGTTTCGGTAAAAATTTTACCGAACATTCGGCCGAATATTCGTATTCGGTGAAATCCATATTCGGCCCATCCCTAGTTTCTGCTAGAATTGACCATCTTTGCAGAGAATTGTAAGGATTTCATATCACCATTTGTAAAAGAGTGCTTTTAATGTTTAGTCAACTGCATATACCTTTCCCAGAATCATCCAGAAAACACATTCAGTAAGGTGGGATTCCGCATACGCTTCAACAGTGGGAATATTATTTATGTATATAGTTTTTTCCATAGTTAGTATTATTAGTGGTTTATGGTTTATGGTCGCAAAGGTTTTATATTACTTCTACATTATAAATTGAATAGGACCAAAAAACACATTATAACGTCCATGTTTCCCGTAAAAACATTACGATAATTAAAGTATTAGGTACTAATGATTATTTCTTCATTTACAGCAGCAGTCGTTTTTCAGAACATTTCACAATTTTCTAAACGAAAAGGGCAATTGCAAATAAAATATGATAAGTAATTTTATAACAAACTAGCCATCCGCCACGGCTTCGCAAGGGTTATTTCTGGATATCAACATCAGCGCCACCAATCACCTAGGGCCACCACCCACTCAAACCACACACAAAATTTCTTTAAAATCATTCGAACCGTTTTTGAGTTTTAGTGAGACTAACTGGGTGCATTAGATTTTTATATATAGATGTAACCAACCAAATATTATCGTTTCTCTTACCGTCTTCTGCATTAGATGAAATGAAAATTAACACGACACTTAAAATTACTAATATTTCATCCATGTGTGAAATCATTTATTATTCCACATTAAATTTCCATAAGCAAAAATACGAAGATACTAAGAGACCAGAGAAAGAACCAAGACTGTAATGAGACCAAGTATATACGCACACGTAATATATGGTGGAATATGTGTGGTGAATTCTTTTATCACAATAAAAATAGAACTAATTGCACGTTTTTATCAATTTTTTATCGTAGAACTCATATTTAAACTAGGTGAACAGCTCCAATATGTGCACTTAACTACAGCCTATTTGTATTTTTGCAATTTACAAATTTAAGTTAGTAATTCCATCTATCTTATTACTCATACTACAAAGGCTAAAGCTGAGCAGTGCCGCATAAAGAGAAGTCAGTGTGTTCTAGTTGTTCTTCTCTATGATATTACTGACTCGTTTTTTAGTGGTTTTAAGCGCAACTGCTGATTGAGTGGTCCATGTTTCAGATCCCGAGTTGAGACAATATCTGTTGATGAGTTTTTGTGAAGTAATTTTCATCTCGGAATCAAAAAATTTATGGTATTTTAAACCCACATACGTAAAGCCGTTGGTCCTGCTCCTGATTTCTCTCCTTTTTAATCCTGTCCTACGCAGATGGCTAGTTTCCGTCGAGGCCGGCCGGGTCTAGGCTTAAGGGGAAATAAAGGGTTTTTCAACAAGAACTTTGTTTTCTAAAACAAAATAAAACAAAGAGTTTAGATGAAGATGATTCAAATTTTTATTGTATTACGAAGAGAAAAGTTTGGCAATTATGAATGAAAAATGATATCTGGCAAATGTCCACCACGACCACGCTGACAGATGTCGATTCTTTCATCAGTTTTTAAGGGCCCCTTTTCCCAAATTTATGTTTCTAAATCGTGTTGTTTTCAAAGAAATCATCATATTTAAAATCCTAAAAAAATATATAGTACAGATAAACGTTTGATCTAGTGACTTTTTTTGACTAGTAACATCGATTTTGAAAGCATTTTCAGTTTTATGAGAATTAGGGGAACGCTATATTTATGAAAATTTTACATTTCATTTACTAATCAGGTTTGACAGGGATATTATTGGATAGATTTATAATTTGGCACTTATTTTTTTCGATATAAAATAAAATACGTAAAAAGCAACTCGCGCGCACCACGCCAGTGCCGCCAGTGTCCAGCCGGACATCATCGAGGGAGGACTTGTGCTATTTTTGCTCGCGACTACGTTGTCGTCGCCGCTCGCGTAGTAGTTCCTACCTACTAGCATAAAAACTTGTTGTATTATATGTAATATAATAGAAATTAGTTTAAAAAGACAATACTCGTATCTAAGTATACTGACCTATGTTTTTTAAACAGTGTTTGTAAATAAATATTTTTTGTAAGTTGTGATTTAATTAAAATGGCGAATAAAAAATACAAAATTAGGAAAAAAAGCCTACCTAAAGTGAAGAAGATCCGAAAGTGTATTGCGTAAGTACTTAATAAGTTCCTATAACCTAGCCCTAGCGTAACATCAACAGGTCATTTACAATAAAAAAAAAATACATATTGGAATAATTAGATATCTACTTTAACAGGGACATAGACTAGCTAAATCAGTATGACAATTTTTATTTTCGTTTTCTAATGTTCCACTATTTAGTGGGTGGATTCGTCACAATATAATTTACTGTAATCTAGCTAAGCTACACAGACTAGCGAAGTCAGTGTGACAAGAATTTTAAATCCTATAGTAACATTCACCTATATTTTTGCGTACCTACTAACTCTAGTAATTTATTTTTTTTTTTTTGCTTTTTGAAATTTTGTAAATTTATTTATTCTATTCCAGTGTTCTGAGATCTCGTACCGATAAAGGTACTTTGATGTCCAAAAAAAGTACCGATGGGCACTCTAAGGAGAGGCAGTATGCGTAAGTACATTATATACATATTACACAGTATACTAGGGAGGAACAGTTTTACCTATTATTAATATTTGTATTCTTCAATTGTCAGATTTCTTATGCCCATACCACGGGCCAAATTCTTCGGATCACCAGGGTCGATCTCCAAGGCCCTTGGCATCTAAATGGGATGCTAGGGTTTCTTGAAGAGATAGGTTGGCTCGAGTAGTGAGCCCCCACCGATCACACAAAATAGGCGCTTTTGACGTAGAGTTGTGGAAACCAGCCCGTTTTACCATTACCATGACCACCACGCGTATGTCTGGGATTCACGATTTCAGGAAGTAGGCATTTATGGTAAAACTGTATTAATTTGAACTCCATCTTCGATTTCCAAAATACGTCAACTTTTCAATTATTTCGATGTGGACTGGCTCTTTTTCTCCGGCGCAACACTAAGTAGACATTGCCGTCATCTTGCCACATGCAGTTGTCCCTGGATTGGTACAACCAATTACTAATTTTATTGCGACGCAATGTCTTTTGATACCTGCCCTTTGCAAATAGGGCCGAAATTGAAGGCAGTAATAAGATTTTTTCGAATTTTCGTATTACGTTCAATCGCGTCCTTGTCAGTAGTAAGGGGTTCTAAATTCTTTAGAAATTCTTCTTTAGCTACTTCTAGTTCAGACTGGGACATATCCGGATCTAAACTGGCGGGGCCATAGTCATTTTGTTTTTGTTTCGCGTCTGTCAATTTCCTGATTTTCACAACAGTCAAAGTTTTTCAGTGAGCCAAAGGGTATTTTGTTTCTGAAACCAGACTACGTAATTTTTGCATAGATTTCTCAAAGTATGATTTCTACACTCAATTTTTTCCACCGTAATATTTTGGTCTTTATGGATTTTCTTTCAGCACTTTTGCGTATGTCGAGGCGTCTCCGTCTGCAATCATTCTTTTATAAATTATGCCATACATGGAAATGGATAGTTTGAACCCCTCGGCAATTATTTGACCCTCCATAGAACACGATGAACCATCGAATTTTTTGAAACAATTGTGCTCCTTAGGAGCGACATTTTTGTTTTCTGCACGGGCGCACACGAGGCAGTATTTACGAGTATTTTTTACAGCCAGAAAAATTATTTTACCGGTTCTTCTACCGATAATTGCCGCAGTTCCAGAAGCAGCTTTATAATTTGATCCTTACGATCTAGCACACCAAGAAGCATCGACGTAAACGTCAATTACCGGTATGCCATTTTTGGTGCGACCTTCTGCGATAGCCAATTTTTTTCTTCTTCTGCAGCATCTTTTTTGAGCATGTTTTTTCACAACATTCGTATACTTGATCCTGGAGTTGATTGTAATATTTTGTAGAAAATACAGGAATATTCATTGCAGAAAAAAGCTCTTCGAATTGTGAGAAGCCGATCCCTGTTGCGATTTGCGATCCCTGTTGTAAACAAACATGCCTAATACATTCGGAAAATACTGACTCAAATGTTAATATAAATATAGCAGCTACCACAGGCATGGTAGCAACAGAGATTCATCATGTTCTATGGAGGGCCAAATAATTGCCAAAGGGTTCAACCTATCCATTTACATGTAGGTATAGCATAATTTATAAAAGAAAGATTGTAGACAGAGACGCCTCTATATACGAAAAAGTGCTAAAAGAAAATCTATATAAAGACCAAAATATTACAGTGGAAAAAATTTTGTGAATAAATCATATTTTGAGAAATCTTTGCAAAAAATTACGTAGTCTGGTTACAGAAACAAAATATCCTTTGTCCCACTGAAGAACTTTGACAGTTGTGAAAATTATGTCCAATTGGAAAGCAATAGTAAGATCAGTTATACACCATAATAAAAATCCCAAGGACGATGCTACAACTATACAGTGATATAAATAATTCTGTGGCGCATGCATACGGTGATCACATAATGTGCCAGGATTATAACTGTAACAGAAAAATTTTCTAGCAACGGACTGAAAACCATTCATTCAACATTTCTGTTCCGGATGTATTTGAATATTTCAAATGTGGCAGTGAAATCACGCAGTTTAATAGAAAACGTTAATTACCAATCTTGTCGAATGTTTCAACAGTCTCATTGCTAAGTTTATAGGAGGAAAGCGAATAAATTTTGCCTTGAAACGAGGGTACCAAGGGAGGTGTAATGCTGCAGTCGTAAAATTTCATGAAAAGTCAGTCATATCCTATGTGCAAAACACATTAACAAATAAAGATCGACCCGAAATGGGATTTGCTGATGTTGTGGAAAAGAAAAGGGAAGAAGCTCAGAAAAGAAAAAACAACTCAGAACGTCCAGTTAGAAAGAAAATCAGGAAATTGACAGACGCGAAACAAAAACAAAATGACTATGGCCCCGCCAGTTTAGATCCGGATATGTCCCAGTCTGAACTAGAAGTAGCTAAAGAACAATTTCTAAAAAATTTAGAAACTCTTACTGCTGACAAGGACGCAATTGAGCGTAATACAATATTACAAAGAGACAGTAGCGAATGGTTAGAAATTCGAAAAAATCTTATTACTGCCTCTAATTTCGGCCCTATTTGCAAAAGGCAAGTATCAAAAGACACCGCACCGCTGGTAAAAAATATTATATAAAAAAATTTAGGCCATGTTGCATCAATTGCTTATGGTATTGAAAATGAGCAGCAAGCATTGCACAAGATACAACAACAAGAAAACGTGTCTATTGAGCCCTGTGGACTGTTTATAGATAATGATTTTCCATTCATTGGTGCTACGCCAGATGGGCTCATTGGAAATGACATTCTAGTAGAAGTCAAATGTCCTTTTTCAGCATCAAAAATTGGCATAAAAAAGCAATTGAAGAAAATAAAATACAAATATTAAAATTTAATAAAAAAACGCGCACTGCAACACTTAATAAAAATAGTAATTGGTTCTACCAAATCCAGGGACAATTGCATGTGGCAAGACGACAGCAATGTCTACTTGGTATTTGGGCCGGAGAAAAAAAGTCAGTCCACATCGAAATAATTAATCACCATCTTCGATTTCCAAAACGTATTTTGGAAATCGAAGATGGAGTCCGTCTCAGTGCGTAAAATGCCTAAACTTTCGGTAAAAGGGGCCCTTAATCACTTTTTGGCAAAACGGCGGGTCTATTTCGTTAATCACGTCACGGATTTTGAGTTTTAAGGCCGCGATCGATTGGATTGGCTCTAATTAAATCACACGATCTGGCTGGCCTACAGCTGAATTTCGTGAAATTATGCGATCGGGAAATTTGGTTTGCAATAAATTGATCGTTTCGTTGGCTGTGTGACATGTGGCACCGTCCTGTTGAATGATATCGATGTCATCAATAATAGGCCAAAATTGAGATATTAACATCTCGCGATAGCGTGATCCATTGACCGTTACCGCATTTTAGCCTCATCTTCGAAAAAACGGCCCAATCACGCCTCCAGACCACATAGCGCACCATACAGTGACAAGTTGAGCATGCAAAGACTTCTCAATAATCCTTTAGGATTTTCAGAAGCCCAAATGCGGCAATTTTGCTTGTTACTACCCTGACAAGAAATGGGCTTCGTCTAAAAAATGATTTTTTCAAAAAAACCAGCGGGGTGTTCCTGAATGAATTGAGCGAATCTACGGCGTTGTGAATGGTCGGTCAGCTTCAATTCCTGTACCAGTTGAACTTTGTAAGGCTTCAAAGCCAAATCCTTACGCAAAATTCGCCATGTGGAGGTTTTGCATAACCCCAATTGTTGAGAACGTCGAGGAATTGACAAATTTGGATCTTCTTCAACACTGTGGCTCACGGCTGCGATGTTTTCGGTTGAATGACCCGGTCGAACACGCGTTGATGTTGGCACATTTTGTACCGAGCCTGTCGATTAAAATTTAGCGACCAAATTCTTAATAGCGGTCTCATAAGGACGATTATGTTGTCCGAAAATATCACGAATTTTACGAAACCTAACTTTAACAGAACCACCATTTTCATAGTGGATTTTAATTATTTTAATGCAATTTTCGAGCGAAATTGAATTCATTGTATCAATTGCCACAGCATCTACTACGAATAGGTCAAAAAAATTAAATGTCAAAACTGTCATGTTGTTGGTGTTGCCCCAATTGAAAAACAAAGTTCTTGTTGAAAAACCCATTATAACCTCAAATGGCTTAGCAAGATCCTCCGTTTTGCCGAAAATATTGCAGCATTAATTTTGAAATAAATATATGGTAAAGTTGAGGATTAATGTTAAGGACTATGTTAGACGAAAACACGATTCCGTAAAATGTTCTCGATAGAAAAAAATCCAAAGTTACCTCCAAACTGAACAATAAACCGCTGTTATTCATAAAATACTTTAAATAAGATCATGAAACTTTGCATACTAACTGAACTAACTATAAAGCAGTGCCTATGTTATTTACTTTTTTTTAAATACTACTACTAATTAATATTTTCACTGTAAAAAGAAATTACCTAAACTATCGGCGTCTTGAAGCTTGATTCCTGTTGCCCCGTTAGTATCACAGAGTATACTTTGTTAGGCTTTTGAAGGGAGAAGTGGTGTCGCTTACGATCTGAATACACATTACGCAACAGGACGACGTAAAATTAAAATGGGAAATAACCGTAATAAAAATAAGAAGCGACTGGGTTGGCGTTAAGAAACAGGCATAAATATGATAAACCTAATGAAATAAGTATCTAACGAACTATCTACTTACAGTATTAGTGATTACAAACATGTCGGTACATAGCTATCGACGCGTGGGGAAGTGGGGGCGAAATTAGAATTTGAGCTCACTTACTATATCCCCTTAAACTGGATTGTCCACTGACTAGATGGAGCAAAGATCTGCGCAAAGTGGCGGCTAACAATTGGATTTGTATAGCCAAAGATTGGGCTATGTGTCGCACCTTAGGTGGGGCCATGTCCAACAGCGGACTCTATTTTCACCATAACTTTGAATATGTATCTATCAAAGAAGTCAGTAACCAATAACCATGGTGGTTGTAAAACACTTGAAACTCGTTCACTGTTTTCAATTAAGGCATATCAAATAAATTCTATATTATAAATGAAATGCGTAAAATAAACATTTATTGAAAGTCGGACTTCATATCTTCGAAATATGGCTGGTACCAAACTCACGTCGCTCACGTACCGTGAATTTCACGGTGACCGCATAGTTATTTCTTTAAATTGCTTATTATAATAGTTTCGTGGTGTAATGGAGTAAAGGATTTCCTTTTAGACCTTAATTCGACCTTAATTTTTTCTTTTGTACATTACACGGTTTCTTCGTAAATTGCGAATGTTTATATTAATAAAATTATGGGTATTTTATGGTTGGTCGCAAATAAAATTAAAAAAATATGGAAAATATGATAAAAATGTATATCTATTTGGATATTTTATCAAGTGTAGTTTTTTGGCTCAAAAGTGTCAAAAATTAGACTTGAAATAAAAAGAAAACCCGACTTGAAAGAAATAAAAAAAGAAAATATTTTCCAAATAAATCTTCTAAAGTTAGTGTTCTAATACTTCTTCTATACACTAGTACGCCAAAATTATTAATGAAGCTTTAGTTCCTCGAAATCGGCTTATACTTTTTATTAGAAGTCTAAATTTAACACACAGCAGGCGCTACTGAAATTGTTTATGGTTGCGCGAGTGCACACCTTTGCATTTAGTATTTGTTGATGTAATTGTTCATCAAACAAATCAAATAATTATTTTATTAATTATAGACTTTTTATTTTTTTTTAAAACCATTACCCCCGAATTTTTTTGATTACACACTAGGATTTTCTCCTGTATCGTGGAGACAGTTTACAAGCATAATTTGCAAAAGGATAAATATCCAGACCCGGACAATTATTTGCAGGCCATACAAATTCCTGTTCCGTGCGGAATTCGAACCCGCAGCCCCAGTGCAGCAACTCATCGCTAAGCCACTGCGTCACGGAGCTTGTTTATTTTATCATTTTTGTACAATCTTATGCTGGGGCCACACTAACGAGAAATGCCGTTGATTATCGCGTTGATGGACGTTGAATGTAGGTGTGGCCACGACTTAAGACGTTAATTTGACAATAATTTGACGTTAACAATGCCGTTTGCCGTTTAGCGATAACTCGAGTAGCGGTACATCAAAGAGATTAACGCACAAAATAACACGTTGAAGCGGTCACACTGCGTTTGTCTGACTGTACACGATGAGCGCAACAACGTCGCACGTATGGCTGTGATGGACCCATCCTTTATATGAGCTATTTTATTTGTTGTTCCTTTATCCGCAGCAGCTCATCTCCCTTCTGTCAGCCAACGCCTCAAATTAATTTCAAAGCAAGTATATATGTCCAAAGTCCGCCACGTGTCATGTAGCCATTTCGTATTGGTTCCTTTTAACCACGCTAATGAGGTCAACTTGATTGTTGACCCCGCCATACCTTTAGACACTTTTCGCGCACCCGGTTTATACTTATTTATTGTTCATTATCTGAATACATAGGTTATAAAGGGCTTGATATTGAAACAGCATATGTTTTGATAACCGCTCGGTTGCTTTCGATTGCGAAACTTTGCTCATGAAATTTGACATTATACACTCGGCGTGACCGTCCTAATTATAACTTGATTCGCAATCGATCGGAGTGGCCTAGCGTAATTTTCTTTATTTTTTGTGTAGACTATAAGATAAGGCACAAAGTAACGTTTGTTATTTCGACAAAAGTTGTGTAACAAAAATATATTACTTATTTATACCTATACCATGGAGGTTAGAGAACAGGAGAACGATCGCTACGTAGTAAAGCATAGTCCGCCTGTCCTTTTGTAGAATTTATAGCGGCGCTGACGTCGGTGAGTAGCGACTGTGAAGTTAGCTGCTTATGAGTACAAGTAGATGAAGTTAGTTGAATAATGTACAAAGTTTCTTCGCAGCATTGGTAAGAAAATTTTCATGCTCCGTAATTTTGTGATTTTTGACAAAAAGAAACATTAAAAAATGGAGAAATACTTTGCTGTGCGTGGATGTGCAAGTGGTTCAGCATCTGATCGGAAAAATAGACTGTAAATGACTTTTATTGAGCGAACTTAGCGATCGCAGCGCCTCACTTATGGTGTCCATATTTCTGGGACTGGATTTCTCCTGTTCTCCAACCTCCATGACCTATACAGTAAAACCTAACAAAAAATTAAATACCATACACCAATTAACAGGATACTCGTATATGTACGTATTTCAATAAGCGTATAACAATGTTTTCACGCTCTGAAGCATACATTTAGTGTACAATATACACAGATTTAGTATACAATATAATATAACATTTTATATGAGACTAAAGTTAAGGTCGAGCATATTTTGGCGGTTTCAGGCGAACAACATGAAATTATGAAAAATTTGCGCGACAGCTATATAGCTTTTCACCATAGAAAAAATAACTATTGTGTTAGAAAATCTACAAAATAAAAGAATCTACCCATCTTTGCACAATTCACCACCACAAATGGCTACTTCAAACTTTACTTCATAATTGTACAAAAAAATTCGTTGCAGGAAGTTGCAAAATTGCGTCCAGATATTAAATAATCTTTTGGGCTATGGTTTAAAAACGTTTTGAAAGGACTTTACGGTCTTTTAAATAGACTTTAGCGTTGTTTAATAAAAAAAATTAAACGATCGTTACCAAGAGCAAAGTTCGAGATTCCATATTGAAAACGGTCAGTGCCAGAAGCAAGCAACCAGATAAGGAAGAAATAAAAACAATTAAATGCTACTAGTTACTAGCATTGTTTAAGTATTATTTTCTATCAAATGTAACGATATGTCAAGTGATATGATAATATAACGACGAATTCATATGTTGAGATAATTCCTTTTACGCTTTGCAAACTTTGATTATATATATGACAAAATCAAAGTTTGCAAGCTTCTACCAAACAAAATGTATAAAACGACTAGGGCAATATTTTAAGAAGAAACTGACTGAGAATATGACTAGAACTAAGTGAAATACATTTGATCCAGAGTTCCTACGCTGATATGGATGGCTGACCACTTTATGATTTTTCTCTCTATTTAATAAGGTACTAAATGGTAACAATTAGGTAGTAAAACTTGGTATTACTCAGACATAAAGCAAGAAAGTGGCATCAGTGATAAGCCAGGGAATAAGGAGTGACAACTGCATCCTGAGGACGGTGGCAGATGATCCACATGCACCTATATTAAGGGGCTATGTGCGGACAATGTCCGAATTCGTAAATTATTGAAATTAAATTATTATTATAATTGTAGTACTACTACTAACCCCCCTTACTATTAGAATTAATTACTAACCCTTATGGATCTATGTTGTCCGAAAATAAAGTGATTTGATTTGATAAAAGTTCTTTTATGGTCCAGTGGTTCTGACGTTCACAAATTTTATTTAGTTAAGGGTTATAAACAGACTTTAAATGCTATTACGTGGATTTTATTTTTAATTTTTGAAATCAGTTTCTTTTTTTTAAGTTTTAAGTAATTTTCTATGCTTTTTTCAGTTATTAATTTAAAATTGAGGTTATAATTATAAATAGGTGATGTTATCGCTTTAAGTTGTAGTCAAGCGATAACATCAATGTAAGCTAAGTTTAAACTAGGTACAAACATTCAAAACACGTTTGAAAATACGTATTGACTGATAAGTTAAACTTGAGTAATTATGTCGAGTTTCTTTATCACTTAAGGAATTTTTCACAACCATCATACTAAGTGGCAATGGCTTAGTTTGATATTTGAAACAAATAGCTACTTAAATACTACAGGATGTTAGTGTAAACACCGTTATCCTTGAAACCAGTGGTTTGGTTTCACTTATAGAACGTAAATTCAATGAAAAATAACAACATTTTTTTTAAGTAAAATCTCAATTTTTCCTTAAATTCCTCAATTTTTGCCAGGATGAAAGTATTTTTTTTATAGGATAGGGTGACAAACGAGCACACATTCCACCTGATGGTAAGTGGTTGCTGCGGCCCATAGACATTTACATCTATCCTCTATTACAAATCAAAATGCAGACGCATTGTCACCCGTGAGGACTAAGATGGAATGCCTCTTTTAGGGATGTAAGATTGATGGAAAAGAATCGATTGAATTAAAATCGATAAAATCGAATAAAAAATTTTTCTTTATACAAAATTAATCGATTTGTCAAAAATCGTTTTAACAAAAATAAATAATCGATTTTTCGGAAAAAATCAATTTTTGTATTATTTAAAAGTACATGCTGTTAATATTCCAATGATAAACCTAATATATTCAGATTAACAATCTATCAGATTAAAAATCGAATAAAATTATATGAATAAAAAAATAACCTATTCAAAAGTTCAAAACCAAAAATCAAAGGCAATGTTCCTTTAAAATTTCAAGGTAAGGAATTATGAAACCAAATAGCATTATCGATACAAATTTTAGTACTATTAAACGTTTTATTTATTATAATAAATATGAAATGATAAGCATCCCAACAAAATGACAAACTTATTGTCTCAAAAACTAAAATATAAATCAAATAAAAAAAGTTTTCCATAAATGTCCAGTCCTATTTTACATTTGACTAGTTTTAAAATAAAATACTTAAAATGAGAATTAAAAAAAACTAAACGACTACGCTATAGTATCAAAAACTAAATTAAAATACAAATCTTTCGTTACTCTTCAAGTTTAAACAAAAAAAATAATGATTATTGCCACAAATGTCCAGTCCTATTTTGCATTTGTTACCTGTAAGAAGACAGCGCGATGTTTTCGTTTTATGTGCTGTTTTAAATTTGTTGTATTGCTACAGGTTTTTAATTTTTTCGAACAGTACTTGCGTATTGTTGTGGTATTATCCCTTCTTCGTGATAAAATGCTTTCAGTAGCCGCTTTTAGGTGTTTTACGGTTATAAAACATTTTTATTGTTTACCAACAACGGCAACAACTTCATCTCACTCAGCATTACACTGAAACTATTTACACGCCTACAACTTATATGTATGAACTTAATCGATCGTTCGAATCGAGATTTTTCATCAAACGCATAGATGCGCTGTTTATAAAATTGAACTTACTGCAGGGTTTTCATAGATCATACATCGCATAGATACGAGCTGTTTCTGAAAATCGATTTAAACACGTAATTTATATAATCGATTTACTAAAAATCTATTAAGTCAATAAAACGGGTAAAAACGGGTATTAAGCCAGTAAAACGGGTCTCCGGTTCTCTACACTCACGATTCGAAACACAGCAGCAGTAAGCTGCTATTTTACGCTGGTTTTCTGTGAGAGCGTGGTACTTCCCCGGTCCCGCCGACCCAGTCATACTACAACCATAATATAGCTGCAGCGTGGCTCTGCTATGTAAAAAAATGAAGGTTATGTACACTTGTTATTGATATACATATCAGAGAGTATAGAAATGTGTATATTTTCGTGATTATGTCATATATGTGTATTGTAAGGGTACTTGTTAAATAAAACAATAAAAAAAAATAATTAATGAAAGCATTTGTGGATTAATAATTTTGCCATCTTTTACTCAAGCATAATGATACACTACATTTTTTCAGAAACTTTACCAAAGGCCTCTACTTCAAAGGATGCATATCAAATTAGAAAACAGTCTAAACCTCAACAACAAAGAGGTAAGTAAAAATCATATCAAGTAATATGTATTATTTCGTTAGTATGTCTGCTGAATATAAATGGGCTGTATTGTCAAATATTATCTATAATAATATAAAATAAATTAGATTAGAACATTGAAATAATATTAGTTTTTACGGAATTTATCGCGTATATTTAACTTTTTTAAATACCCGACGTTTCGAACGCTTTACAGCACTCATGGTCACGGGCAGGACTGAGATGTTCAACGTCCATATGTCATAGTTAACCGCGGTTACCATGGATTAAAATTTAACTTTTGTTCCGATCTATGCAGTATGAACTTATGGTATCTTGAAGTCTTGCAGTTGTATGCTTGGGTTGGGATTTAATTTTATTTATTATAGGATCCCAAGCAGATGGTAGCACCCAGCCATCTTCTCTATTGAAATTAGGATGTTTTTTGATTTCAATAGCCTCGCGAATCATCCTTGGAAGGAATCGGTGTTCTTTAGCGAGGATCTGCGGTCTATCAAATCTGATGTAGTGACGGGGGCGATCCTGTACGTGTTCACAGACTGCAGACTTCCCGGAGCGTCGATTCTTCACATCAGCTATATGTTCTTTAACGCGGGTTTTTATTGATCTTTTAGTTTGTCCTATGTAGGAGAGACCACATTCACAATCAAGCTTGTACACTCCTGCATCTTGCAGAGGGACATTACACTTGACCGATGGTAAAAACTGACCAATCTTCTTCAGCGGCTTGAAGTATGTTTTGATGGAAGCGCGCTTCAAGATGTAGCCAATCTTGTCAGTGACTCCTCTAACATATGGCAGTACAGCAGGTACACGCTCGACTGTGGCCGGCTTCACTCGTTCTCTGTGACGTAGGCGCGGGACTCGAAGCTTGTTGAAAAATTAAATCTGGACGTAAAATGGATAATACCTGATGTGAAGAATAATAGCTGATGTGAAGAATCGACGCTCCGGGAAGTCTGCAGTCTGTGAACACGTACAGGATCGCCCCCGTCACTACATCAGATTTGATAGACCGCAGATCCTCGCTAAAGAACACCGATTCCTTCCAAGGATGATTCGCGAGGCTATTGAAATCAAAAAACATCCTAATTTCAATAGAGAAGATGGCTGGGTGCTACCATCTGCTTGGGATCCTATAATAAATAAGATTAAATCCCAACCCAAGCATACAAGTGCAAGACTTCAAGATACGATAAGTTCATACTGCATAGATCGGAACAAAAGTTAAATTTTAATCTATGGTAACCGCGGTTAACTATGACATATGGACGTTGAACATCTCAGTCCTGCCCGTGACCATGAGTGCTGTAAAGCGTTCGAAACGTCGGGTATTTAAAAAGTTAAAATATACGCGATAAATTCCGTAAAAACTAGTATTATTTCAATGTGTAGTGTTCGCGTAAATATAAGAAATCATTAGATAAGAACATATTGTGTTTGTTGAAGCGAGTTCCACCTCAGTGTCTGGTTCTTTTTCTGTTATTGATGCTTATATACAGTGATCTATTACTAAATGAAACTGGGGTCCAAACTTGTGTCCCTGCCAAAAAAAATTAAAAATGCAAAAATAAGTTTTGTCGAGCAACTTAATACATACATGTCCAAAATGCCATACTGTATTGTGAAAACATACAAAAACTATTTATATTTATTTTCTATAAGAACTACTAATATTTAATCATTTAAAAGTAATATGCATCGATATATATGTACATAGTATTTAATTCAAATGCATATTAATTGTAAAACAAATATACATACCGATAATTTTCACTAGAATCTTCATAAGGTGAAAATAGTGCAACCTCTAGTCGAAATCAATAGGCTAAATTGTCACAAGTAAAATTGAGTAGTTTTACAACGACAATATGGTTTGAACTAGAATGTTCTAGTTTTATATATATTTCTATATGTCTGCATACACTTAATATTGTCAGCTTTTCTCCAATAAAAGCATGACAACTTGCTTAGTTAACTGTTTAATCACTTTGTTCGTTGTTTAATTTCACTCTTAAATTGTTTATAATACTTTATAACACACTATACTTTACTTTCACAAAGAATAATATATATTAATTTAACTTTACTCACAACCTTTAGCATCACCTTATTTCACAATAAACTTGACTATTATAACCTCAGCATCACTGTTCGTAATCAACTGTCGCGAGCATCAAGTTGTGATGATTGCTAAGTAATATTGCATAATGATCATTTATCTAACACTCGACCAATCCTGAAACTAGACGCGTCCCCGCGTAAAAACAGTACCAAAGATAATTAGGTTTTAGATGCCGTTGCGTAGAACGGTCCACACCGATACAATTCAGTAACGGCTCACTTTCTTATAGCTAATGAATGCCGTTGCATAGAAAGGTCCACACCGATACCATTCGGTACCAGCTCACTCTAACTCTAAGAAGTGCCGTTGCGCAGAACGGTCCACACCGATACAATTCAGTAAGGGCTCACTTTCTTATATCTAATGAATGCCGTTGCATAGAAAGGTCCACACCGATACCATTCGGTACCAGCTCACTCTAACTCTAAGAAGTGCCGTTGCGCAGAACGGTCCACACCGATACAATTCAGTAACGGCTCACTTTCTTATAGCTAATGAATGCCGTTGCATAGAAAGGTCCACACCGATACCATTCGGTACCAGCTCACTCTAACTCTAAGAAGTGCCGTTGCGCAGAACGGTCCACACCGATACAATTCAGTAACGGCTCACTTTCTTATAGCTAATGAATGCCGTTGCATAGAAAGGTCCACACCGATACCATTCGGTACCAGCTCACTCTAACTCTAAGAAGTGCCGTTGCGCAGAACGGTCCACACCGATACAATTCAGTAACGGCTCACTTTCTTATAGCTAATGAATGCCGTTGCATAGAAAGGTCCACACCGATACCATTCGGTACCAGCTCACTCTAACTCTAAGAAGTGCCGTTGCGCAGAACGGTCCACACCGATACAATTCAGTAACGGCTCACTTTCTTATAGCTAACGAATGCCGTTGCACAGAAAGGTCCACACCGATACCATTCGGCACCAGCTCACTCTTTAACTCTAAGAAGTGCCGTTGCGCAGAACGGTCCACACCGATACAATTCAGTAACGGCTCACTTTCTTATAGCTAATGAATGCCGTTGCACAGAAAGGTCCACACCGATACCATTCGGTACCAGCTCACTCTTTAACTCTAAGAAGTACCGTTGCGCAGAACGGTCCACACTGATACAATTCAGTAAGGGCTCACTTTTTTATAACTAATGAATGCCGTTGCACATACCGGCCTTAAAGTGTAATAATTATTCATATCTTCATGCATTATCTATTATGTTTTATTCATAAAGATTATATACAACAGAAGGGAGTTATCATTTAATAATAATATAAATTACTAATGTATTTTTCACCTGTATGTTTGTTTTGTATTACTATTTTAATACATCTCTTTCTTGAGATGAGTAACACGCAAAATACACAACCGTTTTGTTCGAAGGCCTAACTTCAACTGGTCACTGTGAACTCGACTCTCTAATTTCTTGAATTTAAATTGGCTGGGGGGCGTGGCCCGGCCGGCGGACAACAATGACTCACTATTTTCTTAACGCGAAGGGACTATAGACTGTTCATAACGCTATCTCAACTTCCCGTAGGAACCATCCCAAATAAAGTCTCAGCAGGAGTTTTCCCAGTGCCTTTGTTAATTGTGTTGTTCAACGACCATTGTACTTTAAACACTACGGTATCCCATTCGTTTTCAGGATGTCCATGATTAGCAGAAGCGAGTGATTCTACGAGAGTTTTATTATATCGTTCGACCTGACAGTTTGCTCTAAGTATAGCGACCGCATTTAATATGTGTTTCATACCTTTCCCCATTACATATTTGCTAAATTCATTACTAGTGAAGCTGGTGACGCGATCTGTAATTAACCGCCGCCGCGCCCTCCCCCCCCTCCCCCCCGAATAATGCGAAGTATTTTTCAAAAATTTGGATACTCGTTTTAATTCTGCAATCACAGACAGCTTTAAGATATATATATTTTGTAAAAGAATCAATAATTGCCAACATATATTGATTCCTCTTTTTGTTTAACGGGAATGGCCCGCAATGATCCGCATGTACGGTGTCAAATGGTTTGCTTACCTTTTCAATAGGATGAAGCATTCCGTCCCTTGGTCTGGCTCTTGGCTGGAATTTTATTATGAGCACATTCTAGACAAGCCTTGCAATATTTTTAGTGAACTTTCTCATATTTTTGAATCATTAGATCCTTTTGATATGTTCGTATGTCATTTCAATCTCAAAATGACAGTTATTGTCATGATTCATTTTTAGTATTTGCCATCTTACAGACTTATGAACCACCCAAAGTAAAGTTACGGTATCGTTCTTTTTGACGATTCTATAAAGCTTGCCATTTTGTAATATAAAATTATTCCTAATTTCAACAACATGCTCGCTTCAAAAGGTGCATAATATTTTGTGTTACGTTTTGCATACAAAATAACTTAACCTAATAGATATGTACAAAACACTACAAAACTTGCAAGTCTCGTCAACAGGATTTTACCCACTAAAATGAGTTATCAAACCTTAAGAGTTAATAACAATAAAATAAATCGAAAAATTACAAATACAGTGTATAATATTTACTTACAACTTTTAAATATAGGACATTATATTTTAATTTGGTCTTCGTTCAAAATTGCTTTTTATTATAAATGTTTTCCAGTGAATTGCAGTATGACAAAGCATATTATTATATATGTATATTTCGAAAAGGCCTCAATTAACCGATCTCGTGATTTTTTTGTTTAATAGTAGAAAACATATTAGCATTTTAAGTAAATTTAAAGAGTCCAGTATAACACGAAGAAGTCAAATAAATATTAACATAATTTGAAACTACATGTTTCCTCATCATAGTTATGAGATATAAGAGTTTCTGAACAAAACAAAACGGAGGTACACCGACACCTGATGAAATTTTGTTATGTAAGATTCGAATTTTGGTTTGATTATTGTATAATAGATAATTTTTGTAAAAAGAAATAAAAAAATATTTATGTAAAATTAATATTTTATGTAAGTACATAAATAGATGAATTTCAATAAAAATTAAATATAATTAATATTAAGTACGTCCTAATAATTGAAAATAATGAGCGTATAATGGTAATTGGTAAATTGACCGAAAAAGTTTATTATTGACGAACAGTTATACTATGAAGTCTAACACTGGTTGGTTAAATAACTATGACAAACTTTTACTATTAATTTTCCAAATTTAAAAATTAAATCCCTCAGGAATATTTATATGAACTTTTCGCTCTCACTTTTTGAATCCACCATTCAATGCTTTGGCTATCAACAGAAGGATCAAATTCTGGTATAACATTAAAATTTGCCGTTATATTATTAGACCACATTTGTCCTCCAATAGGAGTAACAGGAACAGCCATTGAGCTGCTTGTCAAACCTGAAGTAACTGGTGGTTCCATAACATAAGGTAGGGATTGAGGGTTCACACTTGTAACACACACACACACACTTGTTATGAGGCATATCATTTAAGTTAATTCTTATCAGTGGTGACACTGTTCGAACACTGGGCAGCGGCGGAGTTCTTATTGAAACGCTTCTTTTACGATTTCCACCTCGAGATCGATGGTCATTACCACGTAGAGATTTATGATGATCGTGGTGTCGACAACGGGTTGATGGGGACCGTTTATGTTTTTGCCTACCACGACGATCAGGACTACTAGAGCTATAAGAATTTATTCATGTTGAAGAGCTTCCATAACGTTTCCGGGCATGATTACGTCGCTTACGTGGCGACCCCATAATATAAGTTTATAACCAACCAACAAATCCTAAAATTTTATTGTTAAAAAGTAAGAATATTTTTCATTTGTGTCTACTAAACCAACGGTAACAAATTAAAGGAAGAGAAATATTTATAGTTACAAATATTATAATTATAATCTTATAATAGCAAAGATATTATAATAGCAAAGATATTGCAATTTCACTTTATAGGTTTTATGGTAACAAGCTGTGAAATT